AGAGCGGTTTTCTCGTGGCGGAAACCGCCGGAAAACAGAAGGAATCGTTGAGCGGAATGTGATATATGAATGAGTGATATTGTCTGTGTTGTTCCTCTGCAGTCAGAGACAAGATAGCTTCAACTTCTGTTCTTCTCACTGTTGTCTCATGTTGTTGTTTGCAAATGTGCAAAGAGAAAAAAAAAACAAATTATGCATTAATATTAATTCTCTTACGATTAAATCTTTTTATGGCGTTGATTATAATCTGATAACAATGGTACCTACTTAAGAAACTAAGCTAAACACATACATCAATAGATTAATTTAAATATGCTTAATCTAAATTAAACATTTTATAATTATATATTATGATTAGAAAATGCCTAAATTCAACCTTTTACGTGTATTTCCACGAAAAGCTTCCACTTTCCTATATATGGGATTTCGATTATTTCCTACATCACAAAAATGGTATTATTTGATTTTAAATTGATTTTGGTTTATTTTAAATTTTAAATTCTATTTATTTGGGGTTTTTTTCTTACTATAAATAGTTTGGTTGAATGAAAAACATTTCCAACCCATTTTAAATAAAGTTAAATGCATTTGCGTTCCGATTATTTCGATTATTAAAAATTATAACCATTTTGTTTTTTATATTAAATCTAGTTCGTTTTGATTTGATTCTGTTTTGTTTTAAATTCATTTTTTGTTGACAAAAACACTCCTATTTGAAAATTTTATGATTTTTCGGTTATCTTTTATTTAATTCGGTTTGGACTCGTCTATTTAGTTTTATAAAAATCATAACCATTCAATTTTTTTTATTACATTCGGTTTAATTAAAATTATATATTATTTCATTTGAATCGGTTCAGTCACTCCTGATTTCAATTTGAAATCTTGATATGGGAGAGAAAAAAAAAACCTTAAAATAGCACAAATTAAAATTAGTGGAGTCTTTTGGAAAACAAAAGAAAAACACATACTTCTAAACTGCGCAAACGAGATTCTCTTATGTTTTTATATTAACATAAGTCTAAAATATTCCATAATATTCCTAAAATACTACTAATATTTATAAAATTTGTTTAAGGTAATACTTTGCAACAAAAATAGAACGAAAGTTTATTTTAAATTAATAAATGATATTAGATGATTAATTAGTATTTACAAATTAAAAATGATTAATTCAATAAATACGACCGTCTCCTCCGCCTGGTTTGTTTCCTTATGAGAATTCATATGTATGAGGTCCAGTTGTTGTCATAGTGTCTTCCGCGAACTCATATATATATTGAAATATATATAGTGCTAATCAAGTATGGTACGGTTTCAAAATATTTTTAAAAATGTTGTTTGATGATTTATTTGTTAGAATTTGATAGATTTAAAAATTAAACCAGACGAAAGAAAATCATTGCGCAAGATTTCAAAATTAAAAAAAAAATAATCATTCGAAAAATCCTTTATTTTTAAAATGGGTTTAAGCATCTTATACATATTAAAAGCGTCAATTAATCTCGAAATTTTAAATCGCAAGTAATATTCCAGAATTATTTATTTGAAAATTTAAATCTCAAGTAATCTTCGAAAATTATACGTTGCTTTAAGAAAGTATCAAATCTAAAAGACTAAAACTACTTACAATCATTTGATAAGAATGCCTACAAAAGGAAAAAAATATATAAATTTCAAATTATTATTAAAAATATTATTATGTATAAAAGATAAAAATATCAAATTTCAAAATTTTCTACAGATATTACATAATTTGATAAGAATTCCGGTGAAATCAGAAACAAAAAATCTCGAATTCAAAACTATCTACAATTATGATATAAATTGATAAGAATTATCACAGAAAGTACACTTGGTGATAAAACAAAAAAAAAAGATATATAATTTTTGTACTGAGATCAATATTTCAGTTTCCTTTTTTCACGTACGTGCATGTAAATTGGAATAAAGATCAAATTATATCTAAGCATCCGGAACAGATAAGACCAAATCCAAATAACAAAGATAATCATTACCGGATTCTTCGCTTAAAGTAGTTTCTGAAACGGTAAAAAGCCATAAATAAACTCACAGAAAAGCATGCAACTTCACACCGGTTCTTCAGCCAAAAACCAAGATCCAAATCCAGTTCTCCTTCGTCTAAGATCGGTTCCACGAAACAGATATATATAAGTGTGCCTCATCCTGGTTACATTTGATCAACCAAAACATTCCTAGAGTTCATCAAAAGACGCTGAAACCAAGTGAGAAAAATAAAGCAGAGAGAAAAATGGCAGGAGGAGGCTTTGTTTCAGATAACGGTGGGAGGAACTATGAAGGTGGTGTGACGGGTTTCGTCATCATCACCTGTGTTGTTGCTGCCATGGGAGGTCTCCTCTTTGGCTACGACCTCGGAATCTCAGGTCTGTTAATCAGATATCAATGAGTCTGCAATGTGTTTTGTCTTCAATCTCGTCCGGGTTTCGAGTGATTTTAAGATTTCGTTTTTTTTGTGTGAATGGTGGATAATATATATAAAAAATGAATACAAAGTAATGTCTCATGCTGTCAAAAGCAGAAAACGGCCATAGAACCTCTGAATATACAAAAGACGGATTCCGTCTGTAATGTGTTTGGATATAGAGTTGTGCAGTTGTGTGTTTGTATAATGTGTTCTGTGATCAGTCTCGTTTGGGGTTTCGAGTGATAAAGAAACTCTTGTCGTTGTGTCGGTGTAGTGTTGTTTGTGATGAAGAACCCTAGAATCTTAAACCCGTTTGTAATGTGTTTAGGGATCATACTTTTGTTTGGTTCTGTGGTCAGTTCCTTTCAGGGTTTCACGTTATAAAGAGTTCTTGTCGTCGTATATGCATGGGTGTTCTTTTTTTTTTTTAATGTAATATATGCATGGGTGTTGTGTTCTTTGTGAGCAAAAACCCTAAGTTTCTTTTTTGTGGGTGTAGTGTTTTTGTTGATGTAAAAACCCTAAAATCTAAGCCCTAAACCAGTTTTTTAGTGTAGTTTTGTCTAGTAGTCTATCTTTCCAGAATACAGTTTATGAAGGGCTGTCCTTGTTATTGTGTTTTTCGCCTGCATATATGTCGGAAGCTCTCTGTTAGTGCGTGTGATGCGTTTCGTAATTAGTCTTTTTAGGGTTTCGGATGATTAAATTAAAAGCAGTAGTTGTTTGTTTGATTCAGGAGGAGTGACATCAATGGAAGAGTTTCTGACGAAGTTCTTCCCCGAGGTGGAGAGACAGATGCACAAATCGATCCACGAGACTGCGTACTGCAAATTCGACAACCAGCTCCTGCAGTTGTTCACATCCTCCCTTTACCTCGCTGCTCTCGCCGCTTCGTTCTTTGCGGCCATGATCACCAGATCAAAGGGTCGTAAGGTCTCCATGTTCATTGGAGGCCTCGCCTTTCTCGCTGGTGCACTCATCAACGCTTTCGCCGTGAACGTCGCAATGCTCATCATCGGCAGATTGCTCCTCGGTGTCGGCGTCGGATTCGCCAACCAGGTCAGTTCATAATTGATTCTTGATCCTTGATTCTTGATTCTTGACCCATCTTTCTTTCGCAGTCTACTCCGGTTTATCTCTCGGAAATGGCTCCAGCAAAGATTAGAGGAGCGCTCAACATGGGTTTTCAGATGGCTATAACAATTGGAATCCTCGTGGCGAACCTCATCAACTACGGAACGTCGAAGATGGCTCAGCACGGGTGGAGGGTTTCGCTCGGTCTGGCCGCGGTTCCGGCCATTGTCATGGTCATCGGTTCTTTCTTCTTGCCCGACACTCCAAACTCGATGCTCGAGAGAGGCAAGTACGAGGAAGCGAGAGAGATGTTGCAGAAAGTCCGAGGTACCACAAACGTAGATGAGGAGTTCCAAGATCTCTGCGATGCGGTGGAGGCTGCTAAGAAGGTGGAGCATCCATGGAAGAACATCATGCAGAGGAGATACAGACCTCAGGCTGTGTTCTGCTTCTTGATCCCGTTCTTCCAACAGATCACCGGGATCAACGTCATCATGTTCTACGCTCCCGTCCTTTTCAAGACTCTCGGGTTCAAAGACGATGCTTCTCTCATGTCGGCCGTTATCACGGGCATCGTTAACATGCTCTCTACCCTCGTTTCCATCGGTGTGGCTGACAGATTCGGAAGACGGGTTCTCTTCCTCGAAGGTGGCATCCAAATGATAACCTGTCAGGTAAATATCGAAACTATATAACAATTTCTTAACCAAACGAAATAAAACCAAACCGATATGATCAATCGTTGTTTCTTGTCGACGCAGTTTCTGGTCGGTTCCTTCATTGGATGGAAATTCGGATTCCAAGGAGCCGGAACATTGACACCAGTAACCGCAGACTTCATTCTAGCGTTCATATGCATCTACGTGGCGGGTTTCGCGTGGTCATGGGGACCGTTGGGATGGCTCGTGCCGAGCGAGATCTGCCCGTTGGAGATCCGACCAGCAGGACAAGCCATGAACGTGTCGGTCAACATGTTCTTCACCTTCGTCATCGGCCAATTCTTCCTGACGCTGCTCTGCCACATGAAGTTCTTCCTCTTCTACTTCTTTGGAATCATGGTTATCATCATGACCATCTTCATATACGTGTTCTTGCCTGAGACGAAGGGCGTCCCGATCGAAGAGATGGGCAAAGTGTGGAGACAACATTGGTACTGGTCAAGGTTTGTCCCCGACGATGCTGTCATTGGAGCTGGGCATGGAGACGACAACATTAAAAATGCTTAAAAGCATTAAGGTATTGGGTTCTTTTTTTAGGGATTCATAGGGTTTTAGCCATTTGGTTTTTGGTATGATTTCGGGTAATAAGACGAGCAACAAATGTAAGGGTCAGGGTCCGGACCAAAGCTCGGAAACTGTCGGCAACATTATTACTCTGTCACCATTCGGCGTTTTTTTTTAGATGATTCATCCAATAAATCCAATTAGACTCTATGCATGCTGTTTTTTTTTTATTATTTCTTTTTAATGTGGTATTTGGATGGGAGATTTGCAAAACAAGGGATGAATATTTCGGTATTGAAAATGGTTTAATTCGATTCTTTTGGTTTTACAAAAATAGTTATTAATCCGTTATTATATTATATTTAGTTCGATCCGATTTCTATTCCCATTTTTATTAAAAAAAAATTATATCTTTTTAAAAAATTTTGATTTTTTCATGTTTTTTTAAAAATTCGGTCTCGAAAAATTCGATTTTTTAAAAATTAATATCATTAAAAAACTTGGGACATTTTGGATGGAAAAAAATACCGTACTACTACGGCCTATTCAAAACCAGACATATCAAATGGTGGGACCTAAGGAAAGATGTGTTTATTAATTTTCACCATTATTTTCAAACTTCCCTAAATCAAAGTCTCTCTTTTTTTACCCCTAATTATTTATAATGTATCAAAAGAGTTTTGGATTAACATTTAAGCAAAACTAATTGTTTTCTTTTGCGTAATGTTTATTAATTTTTTATGGGATTAAAACCCTTTTTTTATATATTTTATTTCTCAAGCATTTTATGGATAAAACCCTAATTCTGTTTACCCAAACCCGAATTTTACTCGCGAGTATCGGTAGGTTATCTGTTTACAAGCCAAGTTAGAATTAGACAATAACGTTGCACCAATTAAACTTTTAATTAATAATTTATTGGAAAAGACTTACAGAAATATGTTATCAACCCATTATAATACGCAAACGGGTATGCATAAAACCATTAGCACTATGGATTTTTATTGAAAGAACGAATCCTTGACCCATATATACAAGCATGGTTACAGCTGAAATGTAATTTTGCTTAAAAGATATATCTCGTGTATTATACACATTTCTCTTGTGAATGATATTATATAGTTTTATTTATGTACATTAAATAAAGTATTATTAGTTGTTTATTAAAAAAAACTGGTCCAAAAAAAGGTTATTCGTAAAAATGGATTGAGAAATTGGGTCTAAGCCTTATTTCCATTACCCATTTACCCATTTTCAGCCACAAACCAAGGAATATAAAAATTTCCCATTTTTTTATTTAATTATTATTATTTACTTTTTTCGCTAAAAAAAACTCGCGTCCTGAGGTTTCTCAGATTCCATCAATGGCTTCCGCCGGAGATTCAATCGGCTCCACCGCGGCGGCGGACAAACTCTTCTTCTGCCACCAATGCAATCGAACCGTCACAGTTTCCATATCCTCCTCCGCCGATCCTTTGTGCCCTCTCTGCAACGAAGGTTTTCTCGAAGAATACGAGAACCCTCACCCTGCGCCCAGCCCCAATCTTAACCCTGGTGGGTTTCCCCCGTTCTCCGATCCTCTCTCACCTCTCCTCCAGATCTTATTCGCACCTTCGGCATCGCCTTCTTCCAACGCGATCGACTTCTTTAACCCGAGCTTCTTTGGGCGTCCTATGCAGGGGCGGTCCTTACAGCCTGAACCAAGCGCGTTTGACCCCGTTACGTTCCTCCAAAACCATCTTCAGGACCTGCGATCGAGCGGTACCCACGTCCAGTTCGTGATCGAGAACCACCCTTCGGATCCTGGATTCCGGTTGGGGGGGAATCTCGGGGACTACTTCTTTGGTCCGGGTCTGGAACAGTTGATTCAACAGCTTGCGGAGAATGATCCTAACCGGTACGGAACTCCTCCAGCCTCGAAATCCGCAATTGATGCGCTCCCGACGGTGAAGGTAACCGAAGAAATGTTGGATTCAGAAATGAACCAGTGCGCTGTCTGTATGGATGAGTTTGAGAAGGGTAGTGACGCTAAGCAGATGCCCTGCAAGCACGTATATCATCAAGACTGCTTGCTTCCATGGCTGCAGCTGCACAACTCTTGCCCTGTTTGTCGGCATGAGTTGCCGACAGATGACCCTGATTATGAGAACAGGACTCATGGAGCTCAGAGAAGTGGTGACGGACAAGGATCGGGCGAGAACCAGCCGACACCTAGGAGGTTTAGTATATCGTTGCCATGGCCATTCAGGAGACAAGATGGAGGCTCGGGCTCTGGTGCTCCTGGCAGTGGCGGTGGAGCTAATTTGGGGACCAGGCAAGAAGATTTGGATTGAGGTTTGTTATGTACAATTTGTCCCTCTGTCTGAATTTTGATTCTGTGTTGAGAGTGTTTATCTGCGTTTGCATTGATTGCTTGCTGTTTTATAGGCAATTGGGTCAAGATTTGACCTTTGAGAATGTGAAATTGACATGGGTTTTAGCAAGTTGATTAGTAGTTCATAATAGGCTAGATTTTGAAGGATATGATCCTTGTGATACTCATGGTTTCCTTGATTTTTTTTGCAAGTAGTTAGCAAATGTTTAAAGTGGTTATTCGCAAAATTGCACATTGATCATGTTAGAGTTTATTGGCTTGTTGAACACCAGTTTCTCATTTTCAATTTTCTTCCACTTTCTCTTTGGCTTTGGCTTGTAATGTTCCCATCTACTTGTTCATAATCAAATCACCTCTGTTTGCCCTATTTGGACTAAAATACCCAAAAAAGAAAAAAAAAACTGCCTTGCCAATTTAGAATGTTATTTGCCCATCTTCTTGATCATTTAGCATTTGAGGAGGCCATGTAGTATTGTCCATAGTGTGTCACTACAATAACATATCTTTGTTTCAAGAACATCTCTTTGTTTCAAGAACATCTCTCTTTGCTTTAATTCGATGCAACATAATGTCCGACGCACGGTTCATGATGTTGCAATATCATCTCTTTAAGTCAATGCAAAAAAGCCTCTCTGTGATGGAATTCTTGAAGCCTATAAGGTGCTGGGCTTGGTTATAGCTTTTTGTACAGAGTGGTGGAAATATCTACTGATCGAAGTTTCCGTAATCTTGAACCGACGTTAGACATGTCATTGTGATGATCCCAGAGTGATTTGGTGCATAAATTTTAGACAAAGAATAAGCTGCTGTTAGGTTTGTTACGTAGAGATAGGTTTTAGAGGACAGTATGTGATTGCACAGTGCTTTGATCGACTCTTTCAGGGATGTGATCTTGAGAATCTCGTCTTTTTGGCATTCTCTTCACATAATGATCCTTTCACCAGATTTTCTCCCCCCGCATTTTAATGCATTTTATCCATAAGAAGTAGCAAACTGCAAAATGTTTTGCAAATTGCAATACATTTGTAGTTTGTTTGATCTGCAATGCAGTGGTAACAAGGCCAATGCTTTTGTCACCCCTTAGCCTCTGTAAATCCCAATAATGGTAAACCATTGCGTTTCTGCGTAGTCTTTTACTTAGTTTCATCTCCAGGTCTCACATAAACAAAGTTTTTTTTTTTGATAATCCGAAAGTTGACCGAGTCTTTAGCCCAATTACATCTCCCAGAAGACTTCTGGAAGTCTGGGTGAATGCCCTTCTCCACATTTGGGTTTGAACCCGGGTTAAGAGTATTCTTTGCATATTCTCTTAATACTAGGCCACCCAAATTTGGATACATAAACAAAGTTATAGCAATTCATCATGTTTTGCTTGTTCAGTCAATGTTGTTCTTGAGCAGGATTCAGAATAACCCGTTTAAGCGCGTCTTCTCATATTGGTTGGAGACAGTTTCTAAAATAAGTTATTTGGTTGTAGTTAGAGAAAACAGAACCATGTTTTATGCTATGAATCACTCATTCATTCACATTTGCTCTCTCGTTTTGGTGCAGTGTTATTACAAACTCGGAAGAGGGTTACACAGTTGTTGCTTGCAGGAAGAAGACACGAAGAAGATAGATAATAAAAAAAAAGGCAGTTCCGTCAATTGATGCAAGAAAGCTGAACCCCGAGTGCATTTTTACATTTGTTTTGTCTCAAGAAATTCTTACATTGTATTATTATTGATGCCTTGCCATATCTTTCTACCGATGCATTTACCAAGAATATTATTACATTGTATTCTCACCTGCGTGTATACATATATACTGTAACATCTTGAGAGGAAAATTGAGATTTGGTGTTGTCCAGATTCAAGGGTAGTGTTGGGTTAATGATTTTGATAATTTAAGATTTAAGATATAAGTTAAAACGTCATATATGTTATGCCATATACGATCTCATGTGACTATCTCATACGGGGATACCGATACCGATAACAAGTATGCAATATATACACAAAATAGTAATGTATTTATAAACCAATAAATCAATACATAGCTTAAATGATTATCATAAATCATTACCATGACTTGTGGTTTAAAAAAGATTTCCAAAGTCACTATCACTAAGAATGAATGAACTTACAGAATCACGTACCAATAGAAATGCACTTACACATTGATCGTACCAATTTAATTGAATGGATTTAGTCAAGTGACAAATCCTAAACTAAGCCGATTCCGAAAGTTTACGAACCGATTGGAATATCATAGTCGAACACAGAGACCGAAAGGTGTTGGTCGCGATGGTGATTCTAACTAAAGCTATTGTCGATTTCAAATTGGTTGTTGGTTGTTTTGGTAAAATTATAATTAAAAACACTAAAGAAAAACAAACATATAATAAAAAATATATATCAAAAGATAATAAATTAATAATAAGAAAAAAAGATCAACAAAAAAAATTCAGGACACACTAACCATCGAGGGACTAAATTATAATTTTGTAAATCTTTCCTCTAGCTTTTTATAAAACCGTTGGAGGTTATTTATTCATTTCTTTAGATTTTATTATCGTAATTTCTTTTTAACATTTTTAAGATATAATTTTAGCTTTCATAAAAAAAAAAATTTGAGCAAAATGTGAACAGTACCGATGATTAAAAGTACAAATTAAGATTTCTAAAATATAAAAACATGGACAAAAATATGCAAAACAAAAATGCTCATGATTTGCTTGCCGAAAGATTTCGAAGTCATGAGAAAAACCGCAAGACAACGACGATACATATTTAGAAAAGGGAAAAGAATATTCCGAAGAGCAAGGGAACAGTGATCGCTGTGAGGAGATTTGAAATAACCATAAAAAGAAATTTGAGAAAAAAAGATAAAAACTTATCCGTACTTTTCTCTCCCAAAAACTTCTTCCCTGTCATTCGTGAATTTTCCTTTATCCACAAATTCCCAAAAGATTAGTTTAATTATCTTCTCCTGCCCTTCGTAATCTTCTTCGTTTCCCCAAATCTTTTGTTTGGATAAACGTTGGAAATTTATAGCCCCAAAGAAAGAGGTTATGAAATCGTATTTCACGTTCTGGGTTTCGGTTCGCATTTGATCTTCCTTCGTGTTCGTCTCGTCCTCATCTCGTTACCCAGAATCCCGAAGTTCCAACATTTTTAAAGAGAAAACGGAAAGGGTCGCTTTGAATTTCTTGTTTTTTTTTCTGGGTTTTGGTTCCCTTTTTCATCAAATGTTCCCTCCCCGATTTCGTGTTCCAACCGCTGGACAAAATTAACCAAGAAAAGAAGTACGATTCCCGGCGCGAAAACTTCGCAGGAAAATGTCGGTTGGCGGCGAAGACAGAGATGGCGGCGCGGCGGAGGAAGAGGCAGTGGCGGCGGGGGGATCGCCGAGGGGCAAAGTGAAGTTTCTGTGCAGTTATGGCGGGAAGATCTTGCCGAGACCCTCCGACGGCGCCCTCAAGTACGTCGGCGGCGAGACTCGCGTCGTCGCCGTCGCTCGTGACGTCTCCTTCTCCGGTAATAAACATATCCAGTTTTCCCCCCTGTTCCTTGTCCGAACGTCATGTTTGTCTTTAAAATAATACGTTGAAGTGAGCATATACATGTTTGTGTGTACTTGTCTGTGTATGTATCTACGGTGATCATTCCGCTTCAGTCTCCATGAATATAGAATCTTTACTTCCCTCAAAACGATGCTTTAGATAGATCTTGCAAGAGTTGATCACTTCCTGCTATAATGGACCATTTTCGGGTTCCGGCTTGGATTGCAGAGCTGATGAAGAAGGTTACAGCGCTGACAGAGAGCCAGATAGTGCTCAAGTACCAAATCATAGCAGAAGATCTCGATGCCTTAGTCACTGTGAAATCAGATGAAGATCTCAAACACATGATCGAAGAGCACGACCGCCACGAGAGCGCTGGAATCCCGAAACTCAGGACCTTCCTTTTCCCGTCAACCCCACTGATTCTCGAGAATCATCATCCCGTCGCTCCCACCGAATCAGTAGAGCAGCGTTACATCGAAGCCATCAATGGCGTCATCCGCATCCCCATCAAGACACGCCCTTCCTTCAGCATCTCCGCTTCATCCTCTCCGAAATCCGAATCTCCAGAAGGGAACGGTCTCGAGACCAGCCAACTGCCCGAGAACGCCTTCCAGAGCCACGGGAATTACCACTTGAGCCAGCGTTACCCGATGCATAAGGTGCAGAGCAGTCCCAACATTTGCGGTGGTGGCATCAACCTGCATCTCCACCCGGCACACCATCATCACTACCAAACAACCCCACCGTTAAGCTACTTGAGCTGTAGACTGCGGCCATTACCGCCGCTAGATCTCCACAAAGGTGCGGGGCATGGGTGGGCAATGCCTATCCACGGCCTGAACCAGAACCAACCCTACGCGACCGCTCATACATCGGGCAGCGGCCACAGGAGCAGAGCAAGCAGTGTTCCTCAGAGCCCTAGGAACCATGGCCTTCGCCTCTAATTCACTCTCTCTTTCAAAAACACTAACCTGTACAAAGCCTGATTTGCTGTGAATTTACTAATCGCTCAAACGGCTTCTCCACTGTTCTTCATGACCTGTTTGTAACATATCGTATAATGAATGTAATAACACTGCTTCTGGGGACAATTTTCTTTGTTCTTGGATCTGAATCATAAAGCTTTAGTGACAAAATTTGACTCTAAACATCTCTTACTCCCCTTACAGATCATTATCCAGCCTAAAAAATCATGTTCATACATAAATAAACAAACCCTTTTGGAATGGTTCTATGAATTCGAAAGACCAACCCATCAATCTTTTTTTCTTTTATCATTTGGTGTCTGTGAAATCGGCATCGATGACGTCACCTTCCGTGCCTTTGCCTGAGGATGATGACTCAGATGGACTGCCGCCGGCTTCAGGACCAGTACCTGATGGTCCAGGTTGGTTGTAGAGTGACTGACCGATCTGCATGACTTCTTGGTTAAGAGCGGCCATTGCGTCTTTGATATCTTGAGTTGATCCGCTGGCTATCTTGTCCTTGAGCTCTTGGAGCTTAGCCTCCACTTTCTCTTTGACTGGACCAGGGACTTTCTCCCCGAGGTCTTTCAGTTGCTTCTCGGTCTGGTAAACCACCGACTCAGCTTGGTTCTTCGTGTCTATGGCGTCTCTCTTCTCCTTGTCTTCCTTTGCAAACCTCTCCGCCTCCTGCACCATTTTGTCTACCTGCAACATTCCCCATATATGTTATTAACATTGCAAAAAAGAAAAACCTAAAGTGATTTGTTTCATATATAATTGAACGAACCTCATCCTTAGGCAATGTGCTTGCACCAGTGATGGTGATGTCCTGCTTCTTTCCTGTGCCCTTGTCAACAGCAGTGACAGAAAGAATCCCGTTGGCATCAATGTCGAATTTGACTTCGATTTGCGGAACCCCACGTGGGGCGGGCGGAATGCCGTCGAGACGGAAGCTGCCGACAGATTTGTTGTCACGGACAAACTCTCTCTCTCCCTGAAGGACGTTAATCTCGACGCTTGTCTGTCCATCAGCAGCCGTTGAGAAGACTTCTGATTTCGAAGTGGGCAGTGTCGTGTTCCTGGGAATAACCTTTGTCATAACACCGCCAAGGGTTTCCAGACCAAGGGAGAGTGGGGTCACGTCAAGAAGCACAATATCACTCACGTCTCCAGCAAGAACACCGGCCTGGAATATTGTTGTGTAAAGATGTAAACTTTTAAGAGAACCAATACAAGGGCCATATGTGAAGTGAAGAGGAACACACCTGAACAGCAGCACCGAGCGCAACAACCTCATCAGGATTGACGGAGACATTCGGCTCTTTTCCGGTCATCTTCCTCACAAGCTCCTGAACAGCGGGAATACGTGTGGACCCGCCAACAAGGATCACTTCATCGATGTCTTTGAAACTGAGTTTTGCATCCCTCAGGGAATTCTCAACGGGGGTCTTGCACCTAGAAAGTTGAATCAAGAAATGAGGAACTTAAGAGGGTTGAATTCTGGCAAATAGAAATCCTGACTCGGGGTTCGGTTTTTAGCCATAATTGAATCACCTGTCCAGTAAATCGGAGCACAACTCCTCAAACTTGGCCCTTGTGATGGTGGTTTCTATGTGTTTAGGTCCATCAGCTGTAGCAGTGATAAAAGGCAAGCTGGAAACAGTATCGGAATCAAATCAATTACAACCCACATAATCTACAAAGAACTAGGAAACATATATGAGTGAACTTGTACCTTATGTTTGCCTGAGTCAACGAAGAAAGCTCGATTTTAGCTTTCTCGGCTGCCTCGGTTAGCCTCTGAAGTGCTTGCTTGTCTTTCAGAAGATCTATCCCTTCATCTCTCTTGAAATTTTCGGCAAGCCAATCAACGATTCTCTGCAACGCAAAACACAGATCGGTTTAAGCAACTATGCCCAAAAAAAGACATGGGGAACGGATACAAATCTCCTGTTTTGAGGAGCTTCATAAGAAAAAAAAACATGTTCTAACTCACCTTGTCAAAGTCATCACCACCCAAATGTGTATCCCCAGAAGTAGAAAGAACTTCAAACACACCATCACCCACCTCAAGCACTGCATTGAAAGAAGCAAGAAAAATTGCAGAAGGAATCAATACCGGAGTAGATTGTAAAAGAAAAGAGCATCTTTAGAGACTACACGAGTCAGAATTTGGTTATCCATTGCAGAATATTATTGTAAAGTACCTGAAACATCAAAAGTACCACCGCCGAGATCAAAGACTAGAATAGTTTCATTGCTTTTTCTCTCAAACCCATAAGCCAGAGAGGCGGCTGTTGGCTCGTTGATAATCCTAAGAACTTCCAACCCAGCAATGCGACCGGCATCTTTTGTAGCTGTCCTCTGTGAGTCATTGAAGTAAGCGGGCACAGTGATGACAGCCTTGGTGACTTTGTCGTTCAAGAATCTTGAGGCATCATCAACAAGCTTCCTCAAAACCTATGCCGGTTGTAAGAAAACATCAAAACAAAAAGGTCCAAGGATGTTTCATCAAGCAAATGATAACTACAATTGGAGTTACATAACTCAGATTCAACCCAACTGGGGTGGCCTAGTGGTTGGATTGCACAAAGTGCTTCCAACCCAGGTCCAAATCCCATTTGGGGGCGAATATTACAAAAAAAAACTCAGATTCTTGACGAACCCATGACTGAAAAACGATAGTAATGGAAAGTAACTAGTGCAAAATCCTAACATGGAAAACCCAAAAAGGGTATATCAAAATGCAGGTATTATTAGTATTGGACAGATATTCTAATGCCAGAACTGCGAAAGAAACAGCAATCCAGTCAATCCGTGTTGTACAATTATTTGACGCCGGAGAAACACAGGTTAAGCAGCAAACAGTTACAATCTCAATCAATAACTTCATAGATCATCCATTTACAGATTCAGACAGACAGACGAAACCTTGACGGTTTCACACCAAAACAATAAAACACTTTTAGATCATTTATCCATCATCCAAAAGCAAAAGGAAGAGACAAATCCATCCACCAAAAACACAACTCAAACCAGTTAAACGCAGCCCACCAACGATTGGTGAAACACCATGAATGGCTTAGAATAAAACTTCAATACCTGAGCTGAAATTTCTTCAGCAGCAAACTGTTTGCCGATAGCAGGGCACTCAAGTTTGACATTCCCGTTTTCATCCCTCACAACTCTATACGAAACCTGCTTAGATTCCTCCCCAACCTCTGACATCTTCCGACCAATAAACCTCTTCACCGAGAAGAAAGTGTTCTCGGGGTTAACCACAGCTTGCCTCTTCGCAATCTGCCCGACAAGCCGGTCACCGTTCTTAGTGTACGCAACCACCGACGGCGTCGTCCTCTGACCCTCCGCGTTCGTAACAATTGTGGGTTTGCCTCCTTCCATGGCAGCGACGGCGGAGTTCGTCGTCCCCAAATCGATTCCAACAACCTTCTCGCTCACAACCCGGACCGGACCCACCGCGTACCTAGACGAGCCGCCGCCATTTCTCCTCCCGATTCTCAGGAAAGCAGTGCTTGGAGTACAAAAAGACGCGGTCCTTCTCCCGAAGAACGCGCTCCTCGGAGAGAAATTGCCCTTACCATCGATATTCCTCTTCGAAGAACTAGCACACCCAATTCCGCCGAGAACGTGAATCTGAGCGGCGGAGGAGGCCATTTACGGGTTAAAACGAAATGGGCACAAAGGGAAAACCTAGAAGACGAAGAATCGAGCGGAGAAAACGATGACGGATGGGGAGACCCAATGAAGTTGCGAAGGAGCTTTCGCGGATGAGAGGGTAAAAGAGCAGAAGCTCAGGATAAGAGGAGAGGGTTTAAGAGGAGACGGGAAGAAAATTGTGGTACCACGAGGAAGGTTCTAGAATTGGGAGTTCTATATGATGGAAGGTTTTTGACCATTGGATTGGATTTTATTTTTTGGTCTGTATGTGTATTTTTTTTCCTATATATTACATTACATTAAGGGATTTTAATATATGTTTTGTTTGGTGTTTGGTAAAGTTTTGGGGGGAACGGAATGGCAACAACGATCATGTGGTTGCGGTTTTGTGTGGTGAGATCCGAAATTTAGAAAGAGAAAAAACTATTTGTATAAAGATCTAAGTGTTCTATTTTCCATTTCTTGCATAAATTTTACTATATTTAATTTCAAGCCGAAAATTGGGATTTCTAATTTTATATGATCTGGTTTATTTTTTTTACATATTTAAAAAGTATGATTGTATATTAGATTGATTAGAAACTGTGGTTATATAGAACAAATTAAGAGTGGCCGTTTGGTAAAATTGGACCTTATGGAACGCGATATATTTTTTGAATCGAATAGTTTAAAATTTTCGAACGGTATTTAGAAAAAACAAATTTTTTCAGAACTGAATCGAGGTGAATTGAAGTATAAAAAAATATCCGAAAAACCGAAATTTTTTAAAAAGAGGATCTAATTTTTTTAAAATAAAAACTTAAACCATACCAGAACCGAATTGAATATAATATAATAATTGATTGGTATATATTTTTATAAATGAAGTTGAATGATCGGTTGATTGCAAAAGATCTTGAAAGTAAGTTCGTGTTGAGATTTCTGAAGGGGGGAAGACTATCAATGTGTCCTCTTTGAGAGGCCTTAGGTCACACCATCATCATCTCGCGTCTGATTTGGTTAATTTAGTTGGATTATAAATATGTTTATTATAAATAAATACATTAAATGAAATATGTCAATAGATTATTTAATTAAAATATGAAAAAACTATCGACCGTTGATAACACACATTTTACTATAGGATTTCTTATCAAACATCTAACTATTTTACTCGATTTTATATATTAATAGATATTCATGTGAATGTTTAGTTTCGGTTTTTGACTCTGTGTTATTTTACAGGATAAATAAATGTTAGGCAATAAAAAGACTTATTTATAAGAAAAAGGGAGATGACAACGAACAAAAGGTCAACAAGACCACAATCGATCGTTTTCTTCTAACCACAAAATGATCGATTGGAGTGTGAAACTTTTAGAAGAAGCAATCAATCGATAACTTATTCCGAACGATCAATTGTCATACAAATTTTTTCGTTGCAAACCTACAAATTTCATTGCAAAACAGGGTTTGCAACCAAAAAAATTCGTTACTAACTCGTCGTTGCAAATCAATATAGCGTTTCAATTCGTTGCAAGTTGTAAAGCTCTGCAACGAAATATAATTTTTTTTTTGGTAAAAACATTGTAAATATTAGCAACACTTTTGCAACGAAAATATGTCGTTGCTAATTTTGTAACGAAATTTCGTTGCTAATTTTGTAACGAAATTTCTTTCTAATTAGCAATTCAATTTTATTGTTAAAATTAATATAAAAATTAAAAAAATTTAGAATTTTAGAGTTTTTTTAAGAATTAAAATTAAGGTTTAAAAAATAAATAATTAAAAAATATAAATAAATACAAATATTAAATAAAGATAATAAAGATATGTATTTTTTAGAATTAGAAAAATTTATTTGAGATATTTTTTCTGGCGTAGATTTGGTCATCGAGTTCGCCGGGAAGATAAGCGAGTAAGAAGATGACCAAGAAACTGTTCCGTACGAACAGTTCTTCATCAAACTCAAAGTCGAAGTTGTTTATGCGAACGAACACCAGTGGGGAGACAAGAAACTGGATCGTTCTCTTACTTACAGACAATTCATGAGTACCGTTTCAGGTTCCCATGTTCTTTTATCGCAACAACATTGGAGTCCAACGATCAGTCACAGGCTCTCATGACTTTGGCACGTGAGGTCGACGAGAACATACCATTGATCGGATTGGAATTTGAAGATAAGGTCAAAATCATCGAGAGATTCGTGGAGTATTCGAAGAAGAACATGAAATCTTGGTCGCACCGTAGATGGGTGCCTCTCAGAATCTGCGCCAAGAAAACAATCTGGCTCACGAGCGTCGATTTCCAGACCAAGATTCAAGAACACGAAGTTGAAGAATTTCGTATTACTGAAAGTGAATCATATTTCTATTTTAGTTTGTTAAGTTTTCTGATAAAGGTTTGTGTTTCAATATTTTATTTATTTGTTCTAGCTTTGGCGGACATAACAACATTTGTAATTGGGGCAATAGTTTTCTTATTAAACATTTATATGGGTGCATTTAATGATTTCATTTAAAATTTTATAAAATTCACAAGGAAATTTAATTTTTTTTAATGAACTAGTTGGGGGGCCCATTAATATGTAATTGGGCCCGTCCATAGTTTGCACACTATTTTTTGAAATGAGAGCTTTCTGAAAAAAATTCTTCCTCCTATTCTAGTTTATGCATGTTTTTTCAGAGAGAGAATATTATAGTGTATAGTTTTATTTGTACTTTTCTCTCTATTCTTGTTATCTTCGCAGATTTAATTTTTTTTTGGATAACCGGATATTTTGGACCAAGACCAAGACTAATATCGAGGTCAAACACAAATCATGCAATTTAGAATATACGTTCCCTCTCTAAAGTTGATGTTCAAACTCGAGTCCCGTTTCACCGGTTGAAGTATCCAAGTTTGCGTCACAAATCTAGATTTTTAAAAAGATGTATAAATATTTACCATATTAAAATAGAAATATGAAATAAACTAGAAAAATAAAATTATTATGAAATCAGAAGAGGATGATCATATAAGAAAATAGGAAACCGACAACAAAATATGGATTATAAGCAACAAAGAAAATACAGACTTGGAAAATAATAATAACAAAAAGATAAATGAATACATATTTATCCATAGAAAATGTCAAAAAAAAAAAAAGAAAAGGCTCCCTTTCCTTTTCTTCTTACTTTGACCTGCACACGAAAAGTTCCATTCTTTTCCTGTGGGAAAGGAAAGATAATCCACCTTTTGAGCCTTGGGCAAAGAATACAACAAACAGAAGAAAGAATAATAGTATCTCTCTATTTTTCAGATATATATATATATATATATATATATGTGTATAATATAATTTGATAGATTAATAAACAACTATATACGTAAAAACAGAGAAATATTATTTTTCTTTCTGTTTTTGGTTAGCAGATAGATAAAAATAAATAAAAAATACATTTTTTGTAAAACACAAATCAAACTTTCAATAGAATTTATTATAAAATAAATTTAAATAATAAAACTTTAATAATTGTTTTAAAAAATAATCAAAGAAAAATCTTAAATATCTGGTAGCCTTGTAGGTGTATGCGCGCGTGCAAACGTGTCCGACGAGTAAATTATGCGCTTTCGGAAACCTTAGATTTCACGCGCTGTTGGGACGTGTGAATATCACGAACAAAGACAAGCCTGACAGCTGTTGAGAAGTTACGGCGAGTACTAATAGTTAAATACTCTCAAGAGTATGAAAGAATAAGAAGTGGAGCTCCCACGATATAACAAAAACCCGTGCATTGCGCTTCGTCGTATCTTTGTCACCGTTCTCTAAATTATTATTAAACCTGAAACTCGATTTCACTTTTTTTTTTCATGAACTCGTTTCAGCGCGTGCATTAGACTTCTCATTTTAATTCCTTTTTTTATTATTTGAAATACAATGCATAAAAAACAGGACATATTATATATATATATATATATATATATATATATATATTTATACTCGACCTAACTAGGGTGTCAATTGTGGTCCGAGGCCCGAAGTCCGATTCGGCCTAGTCTGAAAAATAGCGGGTTTCGGACCGAGATATTGAGGTCTGCATCAGTTTTGTGAGAGAAATTTATTTTGTATAGAAATCTGACACGACATGCGTCAGTTTTAACAGATGCGATTTTTCGTATCTAAACTATCGGGTTTGTAATTTTGATGACGACTTTCGGTATTTTACATAAGGAAAACATCATAACAAGTTGTGTATGTGATATATTATCAATTTTGAGAGATTTAAGAGTATTTTTTGGTGAAAAACTTGCAAACTCTTCATCGAATTTGTTCTGTTCATCTTTTCTGTTCTTATTAGGGGTGGGCACGGGTCAGATACCCGAAATTTTTAGGGTACCCGAATCCGAACCCGAACCCGAAAAATAATACATTTTAAAACCCGAATTTAAACCCGAGTTTTCGGGTACCCGAAGTGTATTATTCGTAAGATAATTTTTGAGCACCCGCGGATACCCGAACCTGAAAAATTTTAATTATTTTTTTAAAAAAAATTATAAATTTATAGATTTTATACAAATAATTAATAAAACTAATGAAAATAATTAAAAATATTTATATTTAAAATAATTAGATAATAAAATAATAGTTTATATATATATAAAAATATAAAAAATCAAGATAATTGATAGATATTTTATTAATTTTAAAAATTTTAAATAAATAATATTTATTTTTTATTATTCGGGTATCCGGGGGTAATTACTCGACCCGAAAGTGTAAATCCGAACCCGAACCCGAATTTCGGGTTTTAGATATTTTAAAACCCGATCTCTATCTCATAACATAACGGGTATCTGATTTTCGGGTATCCGATCCTCGGGTCGGGATGGATACCCGATTTCCGAGTAATTTTGTCCACCCCTAATTCTTATGTGCCAGACAATACTTAAAGAACAAATCAAGTGTTGTTGTTCTTCTTTGTATCTCAAAACGTATTGTCGGTAATCTTTTTTGCTCGGTAGAGTGGTAATAACGTTTTAGAAAAATATTCGTCACGCCTTAAAGAACATATCCGGGTGTTATTTCGAATCCGATTCTATATTTTTTATTAACAGAATATAATGATAAATTTATTGTACGTACATGTAAGTTGTAACATATATTTTTAAAATTTTAATCGCGCATCAAAGTACTTATAATGTCGGGAAAAAAACAACTTAAAATGATATTGCTCATTCAGAAAAAGACATAGCTATAATTGATATATGGTGCGTCTAGTAAAGAACAGCTAATACAAATGTAAAAGTCAAATGAATCATTCAAAATTAATTAAGCCCCAAAACAACATTTTTAATTAAACGTTAGTTAATTTTTTTTTACTAGAGTAAACATTTTCCTTATCCTAGATGTTTTCATGATTTGATTTTAGAATTGATTTGTACCTGGATTATTTATTAAAAATGATACAAAATCCCATTCAATAATAATAATAGTACCTTACCTTTTTAAAACGTATCAAATAAGTATTTAAACTTTTCATTTAATATAATTGATATCATAAATATTAAAATATTGTAAATTGATATCATAAATGATAAAATCTATATCAATTCTCAATTTTTCACATAATATATGAATAATTTATAAGAATCAATTCTTATATATATTTTAGAATATTTTTAAGAATTAGTCGGGCTGCTATAATATTTTTTTACACACGTAAAAAAAGTTAAATAATTTATTCGGGTTTATTATTCAAAATTGAAAAGTGTTATTGATTTTATAAATTACAATACCAATTTAGAATAATTTAAAATTTAATCAAATAAACAAATTAAAAATTCAAATACTTATTTCGCACCTTTTAGAAAATTGAAACATTTATATGAAATTTTCTATAATAATAATAATAATAATAATGATAATGATAATAATAATAATAATAATAATAATAATAATAATAATAATAATAATAATAATAATAATAATAATAATAATAATAATAATAATAATAATAATAATGATGTCCCATCAAAAGAGAAAATAGTTCTTTTTTCTTCCACTTTTACGACGTCGTTTGGTCTTCAAAAAGCCAAGCCGTTCATCATCTTTCCTCCACCTTCTCGTCAGTTTCTCCTCTCCGTGGCATTTAATCTCACACTTTTAATTATTTTCTCACCAACTCTGTTTTATAACCTTCTGTTACCTGTCTTCTCCCCGTTTTCTTGTTCTCTTTTCCTCCAATTCCAAAGCTTTTTCTGTTCGGTGCTTTGCTTTGTCTTCTGTTCTTAGTCTCACTTTTTGGTTCGAACCTTTTCTGGGTTTATAGCGGGAAAGGTTCCTTTTTTTTCCGCCTTCTTGTTTAATCTCAAAGGCCCTGAAGATTCTTCTTCTCATCCTGCGATGCCCTTCTCCTATGTGAGTAATCTGTATTCATTTAGGCCCCATTTTTTCTTTCCTTTTTATCAACTTATTACTGTATTTCCCTTACTTTTGATTTTATCTGGGTCGTGGTGAACTTGTTTCAAGTCCCTTTCAAGTGAAATTGTTGTTATGTAAGTTCAGAATCGCGAATTGGATAAATCAAGGAACGGGTTCTTTCAATTTTGTCTCTTTCTTCAGAAAAAAAAAACGGGCGTTTTTTCATCATTTCAGTTCCGTTTCATTTCTTAGAGGAAAATGGAAGTGATGGATGCGGCAAAGTAGGAGATATTTGAAATTTGCATCAGTTATCAGCAGAAACCGTCGACAGAGCATGTTTGATGTCTCCTCAATCTCAGTTAGGTCTTGGAACATGGATTCTCCGCAAGTTTAGGGATTTATTTATCTGGGTTTCATTTTTCGTGATTTAACAATTCATTTCGGTGGAAATTTTCTCTCCTTACCAATTTTATGAAAACCACAGGAATATGGAAGTGGAAGTCTCAGAAACTATCTTTTTCCCATAAATTTAATTTTTTTTTTGTATTCAACCTCTTGGGTTTACTGGAAAATGAGAGACTGAAAGATTTCATGATCACAGAAGAATTTGCGTTGACGTTGATTGTTTATTTGCAAGTGGCTTTGATGTTCTTATAGTTTATAACATTTGTTTATGCCTTGTTATCTATCTGGGGAGCCAGAGTTCTTTCATGTTACTTCTGTGTTACACTACAAGAATTGTGCATCTGCATATAGATTGTCTGAATAAATTTATCGTTCAGAAGAATTCATGTTGATGTGGATTGTTCATCTGCACGTGGGTTTTATGTTTATATAGTTTTGTATCCTTTGTCTATACTTTGGCATTGGTTTCAGAAATCAAAATATATGAAGTTTTCTTGTTTTCAAATTCGGATCTTTGTTGTTTCTTCGATGTAACTACAATGATTGTTCACTCTCATTCAGTTTGAATGTGTAATAGTTGTGTCTTCAGTGTTTATCACCTTCGTCTACACCGTTTGTATTGCATTTAAAAACTAGAGTATATGCTTTACTCGGTTTTCGGGTTTGGTTCTTTGCTGTTTCTAGCTGTGAATTTGCATATAACTTGAAAGTGATTTCATCCTCGACGATACTGTTTTACAGTGTTATATGTTGTCGGATTCGAAGAGTAGATCATGCCTCTGCAGCCTCTTCATCACCGCGGCTTTGCTCTGTGGTGCTTACTTCATCGGCAGTGCTTATATAGCTAACGAATTCAGAGAAGTACGCCTTTGTTCTCTCTCTCTCTCTCTCTATAGCTCTATATTTATAGTTGTTTGGGTTTATATATCATAGTTATAGTGAATTTAAATGTGATATTTGCTGCTCGGTCGGCTTTGTTCAGGTTGTAGTGAGATATTAGCAAAGAGTAGCTATCACAGTTGAATGTGAGGAACATTGGCGTATTGCTCAAAGTAATGCGAAATTGTCTGTGGCCTGTGAAAATAAAGTTTAGGCCTTTTACTCGGATTGTGAACATTTAACATCAATGTCCAAACGCGTGGCAGAATAGTTTGATAATCTGTATCGAAGAGAACTTTTATTTGAAGTTTCTGTTGCAGAAATTGCTAAGATGGGAAGTCACAAATAAGTCGCAGAACCCAAAATCCAATACTTGCAAGGTTCGTCCTCCAATCGTAAAAATAAGGCAATTAATGCGGGCTTTTCGAGTTCCATAGATTTTTCTCTTTATTCGCTTAGCGATTTTTCTTTCATCGGTTTATTTAGAAGCAATGTAGGCCTCCAGGTACGGAGGCGTTACCACAAGGAATCATTACCAAAACATCGAACCTTGAAATGCAGCGGTTATGGAGCTACGATATGAAAAAGGTGGGGCATATAGTCTAGGTTCCTCTCGAGTCTTATGTTTGTAAATATTACACAGATCTTGTAGCCAAATCTTCAATATATATATATATGTATGTATGTATGTATATAGATTCAGTTGTTTTTGGTGTTTCTTAATTTCTGACAGAGCAAACCAAACCATTCAATGAGCTTGTTAGCTATGGCGGTTGGAATCAAGCAAAAGGAAGTGGTTAACAAAATTATTCCCAAGGTTGGTTTCATTCGGTAGAACTTCTTTCCCATCATTTATGTGTTTTTGATTTCCTGATTATGTCCGATGTTTCGGTTCATGGTACATCGATTGTTCTGTCACAGTTTCCTCCCCGAGATTTTGCGGTGATGCTTTTTCATTACGATGGTGTTGTTGACGAGTGGAAGCAATTCCCCTGGAACGAGCATGTCATACACGTTTCTGTGATGAATCAAACGAAATGGTCCGTGATCATAACTGTTCTAATCATCTCTTGTGGGGTAATTCATATGGGAAAAGTTCTAAGTGGAATGTTATTGAGTGATCTCTCAGGTGGTTTGCCAAGCGGTTCTTGTATCCGGACATAGTCGCCGAGTACGAGTATATATTTCTTTGGGATGAAGACATAGGGGTTGAGAATTTCAATCCGAAAAGGTATTTATCGATTGTTAAGGACGAGGGGCTTCAGATATCGCAACCTGCACTCGACACTACAAAGTCCGAAGTTCATCATCCCATTACGGCTCGTCAGAGAAACTCAAGAGTGCACAGGTCTGCAGCTGTTTTGTTTCATTAAACTAACAGATGTTGTTATGGTCGTATTTGCCCGCTGTTTTTCTTATAGTAGATGGGTCGACATATAACATTGATGGGTCAGTATCTCAAGATCTTTGTGTTGTATGAACAGGAGAATGTATAAATACAAAGGTAGCGGGCGATGTGACGATCATAGCACTGCTCCCCCATGCATAGGGTAAATCATTACGAGATCTTGAATTCCCTCATTTCTCTCGTTTTTTTGGTTAATCTTAGTCTTCGGTTACATTGCTACAATTTGGCTATGCAGTTGGGTTGAAATGATGGCACCCGTTTTCTCCCAAGCAGCGTGGAGATGTGCTTGGCATATGGTTCAGGTACATATGTTTTTCTTGGGACATGGTGTTATCTTTTCATCAAGAAGCGTTTTGATACGCTACATGTATAAGGAGGGTACGAGAGAGGAGATGAGCATATCGGGGGGTGGTCTATCATGTTCTTTGCCATAGTCGTAGATTTGGTTGATTTTTCGGGTTTTGATGTTTTCTTGTTTTGTAGAATGATTTGATCCACGCATGGGGTCTCGATATGCAGCTCGGTTACTGTGCCCAGGTACCGTTCCCTACCCTTTTCACGGCCCTTTCCGGAGTTGAGTCTCGTAGCAACACTTGTTAATCCTCCGTACAACGTTTGCAGGGCAATAGGATGAAAAATGTCGGTGTTGTTGACGCTGAGTACATAGTACATTACGGTCTTCCAACGCTTGGTGTGACCGAATCAGAGGCAAGTACAGCTAAGCTTTCAATCCAACTTACTATAAGATCATCTTTCGAGAATTAGTCCTTAAATCTCGTTGCCTGTTTTTTCGTTTATCCAGTCAAGTCCCAGCCGGGTAAGTTTCGCGCAAAAGGAGACATTGTCGGACCAAGAAGCACCGGTACAAGCTTCAGAGCTGAATCTGTTATTTTGCAGCTTGTTCTCGTTAACATAAACGGGATCATTACAACATCTGAAACACCGGTTTTCGTTATCGCAGGCCCCATCCGAGTCCCGAGAAGTCGACAATCGACCCGAGGTAAAGTTTCGCTCGACGAATCGTTCAAAGTTTCAGATGAAAATATGAGGCAAAGGGATGAACGAAACAGCAAATGTTTACATTGGGGAACAGGTGAGGAGACAGTCATACATAGAGATGCAGATGTTCAAGGAGCGGTGGAAGAATGCTGTGAGGAACGACAAATGCTGGGTCGATCCTTACTGAGAAAAATAGCGAAAGGCTTCTTCTGATCAACGGAGCGGGAACTTGGAGTTAAAAAGAAATGACAGAATCTTTCTTTTTGCGACAGATTATGTATATATGTTCGGTTTTTTTTTTTTTTTTTTTTTTGGTTTGTGGTGTATATATTTGTTTGGTTTTGTGGCTGAATGGGGTTTACCGTTGTGGTGGTCCCACAAATCCAAGCAACCATGTGTTCGTCTTAGGTCATCTGTATCGTCTTTTTAAACAAAATTAGGTATCGGTCTGAAAATCGAAGTTATGTAATTTTTCATAATCAAATTAAATAAATTCGAAATTAGAATCGAATCAAGTATTCGAAAAAAAAAATATTTCCAAGAGGTTTGGAACTAATTATCGTGGAGCCAATTGAGGTTGTGGACAACCGTTATTCTCCTGTGGATGAGTTGGAGGTATTGATACAATGGAAGGGATTACCCTTTCAAGAGTCGACACAATATTACTCAAATAATCCACTTGGGTCGCAGCAATTTCAGTGTACACAACCGAAAAAAAAAAAAATTTCAATTTTAACCCATTTTTCGGTTGGAAAAGTCCGAAATACCCTTTTCGTTTTATTTTTTACGATCTTATTACGACTAATATATAACTGATATACCAATAAAATAAGACAGATGATTTTTTTGCCACCTTTTTTAGAATCAATTGTAACTATATTTAGAATTAATTACGAAGTCGTAATAACGAAGTTGTTTTCGGACGGATAAAAATCGCGTATTCATTAAGGGTAATTTCGTCTTTTCACACACAAAAAAAGTGTTATGTTTTTTCTGGTGTACACGTGAAATAGGTGCGACCCATCTGAGAGATTTGAGTAAAATTCCCCAACCGTTCCCTGTCTTTTCAATTTGAGGACAAGTTGCGTCTTCAACCCGATGATTTTTTTTGGTAACCGGTTGTCTTGAACCAAGAGGGGTCGGAAGCAAACCATGTGATTAGAATTACGCTCCCCTCCCCAACTTAAAAGCTTGAATTCGGGGGCGAGAGAGGCAAGCTTTTGGTGAACAACTTCTCCAAGGTTGTATTCGTCTGATTGGGTCAATAAAGGTGTGGCTTTCCTTCAAACGAGTACTGAATTCTATCAAGAATCCAGAATTCAACAAAGCCCCTGCCGCTACGATACTTCATACTCATCCCTACAAAGAGACTTGGTAGGAAAATCGATGATTCGACTCATACCTTAAAGACGTTATCGGACTCTCTACTTCCAAGTCTATAGCCATTGTTCACTAAGCTCATCTCCTTTGCGAGGAAATGACAAAACATGCCTCTACAACTCATGTTCACTTGATTCTATTACAGCAATAAATGTACAAAAATAGATGAAATAGAGTACACGCATCCACAAATTTATTCCGCATACTCGAATAACATGGTGCGAATGACAAAATTGAATTATAGCGCCTCTTATGCCTCGGTTACCAATTCATATCTAACTCTTAACTGCGTCGATTAAAAGTCGACTTTGAGGAAGAAACCTCTCCCTAACTCGCAAGAATCGATTTTACCACGCATCACCGAGCATCTTTAGGTTTGCCCATTCAGCCACATCAACTCGCTTATGGATTCTACAAGCCGTCAAGAGTGCTCTCCACAATGCGCCATCAGGCTCGGCCTTCATATCCATTACCAAATCTTTCGCCTCATCGATCAAACCCGCCTTTCCAAGCATATCCACCATACATGTATAATGCTCAACGGTTTGCCTTACCCCGAACCGGTCCTGCATCATCTGAAAATACTCTCTCGCCCTCTCCACTTCTCCCACGTGACCACACGCCATTAACAACGACGTGAACGTCAGTCCGTCCACCTTCATTCCCACTTCCACCATCTTATCGAACAACATAAGAACCTCTGCGTGCTTCCCGTGAAATCCGAACCCAGACATCATCGCGGTCCACGAGACCTCGTTCCTCTCCGGCATTTCGTCGAATACCTTCACCGCGCAAGGCAAGTCTCCGCATTTCGCGTACATAGTGATCAATCCGTTACAGTTTCCGACTTCTGAACCGAACCCATTCACCAAAACAGCTCCATGAACCTGCCTACCCACCCGCAAGTTCGACAACCCGCTGCATGATTTCAATACTACCGGCAGCGTGTGCTTGTCAACGGCTTTTCCGGCGAGGATCAAGCACCGGAAAACGAAGAGGGACTCCCAGAATCTACTCTGCGAAGCGTAGGCTCTGATAAGGGAGTTGTAGAGGAAAGTGGGTCGACGAATGGTCAATGAGAAGAGGAGTGTCGCTTGGACAATCTGGGAACAGGAAGCGTACGAGGAAACGAGCTTCGACCTGATGAAGTCGTTGTCGGCGACGCCGTGCCTGATCACGCACGCGTGGAGCTTTTGGAGGTTCTTCAAGTTCTTCGTGGAGTACTCGTCGAGGAGGGAAGCGAAGTGTTTGATTAGCATCTCCGAATCAATGCGCCCGAAGCTTGGAGCGCGTCGACCCGGGAGAAAAATTCATGGTCGGTTGAATTACCTTTTTGTCCTTCGTTTTCTGAATTTACACTCATGCCCTCGATGTTTTCTGGGGCATGAAATTGATTTACCAAAGCAAGGAGGGGCGGACACAGAACAAACAGGACCAGGTTTCTACAGACAAAAAAAAAAAAATACTATTTAGCAAATTAAAATAAAACAAATCCCTATATAAATATATAAGAGTGTTTTACTACTTTTATTATTTTTTTGATTTTTTAAAATTAATTACAAAAAATCCCCTCACAAATACACGTCGCCTATTTACCATTATGCCCATTAACTTCAGCCCATAACATGTTGGCTCAATGCTTGTCAGATCTAACTCGTGTTGTCAGTTATTAAACCGACATTAAAAAAGAAAAAGAAAACCCTAGTTCTCTGGTTCTTCGTTCGACACTGCTCGAAGCGAAGCAAGGGAGAGGTCGGAGCAACATCCTCTTGGGTTCCAGGTTAGAAAATCAGGAGAAAGCTCTGGTTGCTGGTCGCCTTTTCCTCTTCTGATCCGGGCCTTGTTCGAACATGAACGTGAATGTACTCGGAGACATGCAAATTTGCTACTTCTGTGGAAAATTTCGTCCTTGTTTTGGAGATTTGTTCGGTTGTTCTGGGATTCTTGATGTTATTTATGTGCTTCGTATTTTATTCACTGGATCGGAGGTGCCCATATTCCGGATTTCGTATTATTTTTCCCAGTCCCAGCCGCCTGAAATTTGTTGTTTTATTCGTAGTAGTTTGCAGTTTTTTGAGGATGGTGAGAATCAGTGTCCTGAACGATGCTCTTAAGAGCATGTACAATGCGGAGAAGAGAGGAAAGAGGCAAGTGATGATTAGGCCTTCTTCTAAAGTGATCGTCAAATTTCTCCTTGTCATGCAAAAGCATGGTATGGGTATTTTGCAGTATTAGTTGGATTCAGTGTTCTTTTGTCCCCCCCCCCCCCCCTAGATTTCCATCTTCTGAAGATGCTTACTCCATTCTTGGTTCGTTGTGCTCTGTCGTTAAGTGTTGCAGGCTACATTGGCGAGTTTGAGTATGTGGATGACCACAGGGCTGGTAAGATCGTTGTTGAACTAAATGGGAGGCTGAACAAGTGTGGAGTCATCAGTCCACGATTTGACGTTGGTGTTAAGGAGATTGAAGGTTGGACTGCTCGCCTGCTTCCGTCCAGACAGGTCGGTTCATTGAGACTGTCTCTTTACTTATTCCCGTATTCCTCTTCTTTATGATATTATTGCGATCGAGAACCTATCATCACCGTGGATTTTGCTATCACCTGACCTGATTTTTTGCTAAGTGCAAGTTAGAAGTGACCCGTGCTTGCTATGCCAGTATGCCCTTCTGTTGATTGCCATGTTCTTGTAGAAAAACAAAGTACATACACACTGATATATGGGATGTATGTAAATAGGTTCATGTTTTTTTTCGTATAGTAATGTTGTCAAATGCAAGTGACCCATGCTTACTTTGCCCTTTTGTTGGTTGCAACTGTTACGGAATTACAAAGTATAGATTGTCTTTCGGTGTTTGTCCTTGCCCGATATATCGGATGGACAAAACACAGGGCATATTGTTATTCGTAAAGTAATATTGTTATTCCATGGTTTTGTAGTATAACAAAGCATAAAATTGGTATTCCGTCTTTGTCCTGTACGCATGATGTGTGGGATGGAACCAAAACTCAGGTCATATTGTTATTCGTGTGGTAATGTTGTTGAATTCATTCTGGTGCAGTTCGGTTACATCGTTCTGACAACATCTGCGGGCATCATGGACCACGAAGAGGCCAGGAGAAAGAATGTCGGAGGCAAGGTACTCGGATTCTTTTACTAACGTACCAGCAACTTTGCGAGAGTCTTGGCACTTGGGCATGTTTTGATTATCCTCAAGTTCATTGCAGCATCACTTTTTACTTTTACCGGTTGCTGTTGTGTATTATAATGCAATTTTGTTTGTTTTTCGGATTATTTGAACTTTTAAAGCAATTAGAAAGTTCATTTCGGTTATGTTTTCTTAAGATTTACGAGGTTTTGAGCCAAATCATCCATCCATTTTTTGATTCGAAGGTTTTCCATGTCTCAAGTGGTATGCAATGTTGCTTTTAACCGGGATTTTATAAAAAATATTCTTAAAATGATGATTAACTCTTTCGTTTAGAAATATTTTTCATTTTTTTAATCATTTTAAAAAATAAGGAAAATAAACAAAAATATATATAAACGAATCAGACACAAATTATAATCAAATTTGATGTCTCCGGCAATCGGGAAAGTTGAAGAATTTCAAACTATAATATCAAACAAATACATCTATTACTAGGGGATGTTTCGTGATTCGGTTTGCAATTTTAGCGAATCGAATTTTTCACAGTTAATTCGATATTCTAAAATTTATATCAAATTAATACCGTATATTATTCGGTTCAATTCAGTTTCGCTTTCGATACGTTTCATTTTTGGTTTTTGTTAAAAAAATTAGATTTCTTTAATAAAACTTCGGTTCACTTGTGAAAAATTCGATTCTATAAAAAAAATAATGTTCGGGAACTTTAAATAGTACATTTCGAGAAAAATATCGAGATTTTCGGTTTGGTAAGGAACCGAACTGAAACGTTCACCCTTATCTATTGCTAACAATCAAAAGAGTTTAAATAGACCACATTATTTTTTTTTGTAGAATTGATAATTCAATTAAGAATATAATTCCTAATAAAAATTTTAGAAAACCCAAATATTAAAAATTTAATTTTTTTTATAATATCCAATTAAAACTAAACAGCTTTTGCTAAACCAAACCGGTTTGCTATCTGCAACTTTTCCGCTCATGTTTGTAGCACATAAACTCGATGTTGGTACGGAGGGTGTCCGGACTAATCTAAGAGTCTGCTTGCTGAAACATCATACCATTGGCATGTCAGAACATAGAGTTTCAAGATAAGTTATATACACCAAACTCCCATTTTACTTTACAAGACCACAACACAACATTTTGAAGCGTAAAGAAACCTAAAATGCTGTCTATTCTATTACCTCTTTGAAGGGTCCGGATTCACGTAACAGTTTCATGACCAGATTAACCTGCAAACGTACAAAGGATAAAAACTGTCTCAAGAGGTTCAATCCAGCACAGCTTTTAAAACAGTGAGCTAAGAGATATTTCACGAGATGTTAATATGATTGTTTTCTTCCCAGGTACACACACGATTTATGGTTCTACTTCTCTGTTCACTCGATTTGGGCGCTATTCACTTGATTGGGCACAATTCACTCGAAGGTTTCTATCGGAAAACTGATACTACCTGATAGAAACTCACTACGGTTCCTATCGGAAAACTGGCGCTACTAAAGGGAGAACAGTAAATCCCAAAAGCTTCAAGGTTGCCTTTTCCTCCAAAACGATCAAACTTCTGATATCCATTCCAAAATGAAGATGATTCCTATAAATCTTATAGAGGGTTACAAGAAACACTAGAACTCTAAAGTGGCTATAGCAAAAAAGGAGGAAATTAGGATTTCATTACAAATGACCAAACTACCCGTTAATGACTTAAACCGGCTAAACCGAATCTGATCCCCCTAAGCAAGTGGACTCTACCAAGATACAACCACTGAAAGATCACCAAGAGAATTTAGAATATACCACATACCTGGTTTGACTCTCGTGCTAGAAACTCCTCAATTGCTTGCCTGAAACTTACGTCAGCCAGGTAATGACAACTAAAAGTCTTCACAGGTAGATAGCCTCGCTGAACCTTATGCTCACCCTGAGCTCCAGCTTCTACTGTTTTCAGATTAAGTTCTATAGCTGCTTCTATTGCCTGTGATCATTGATATAAAGCATGAGAAAACAGTTGCATGTACTAAATGCACTCCATGTCACAAAACACTGCTATACTAAGGTAATTCCTAGGAAAACTTTGCAATTATGTTTCCTGGAAAGGATACAATGTGCATTTGGACACAATGGGGAGGATTCCTTTAGGAGGAAGAGTGAAACGTTCATTCTGAATCCCGTAATATACTATCTAGCAGAATCTATATCAACTATGTATAAAGTTATCTTTAAAGACTGCAACCAAAAGCTTTGAGCCTCTGGAAAAAACTAGACAAACCTGGTAATAGCATGCTTCAAAATGGAGACTAGGGTAGTAGGATTCCGGGCGACATCCCCAAAGTCGCCCAAAGATGGTATCTCCTCCAATTAGGTTTAATGCTCCTGCAACAGGTTCATCACCTTCTTCAGCAAGGACAAGTAACACCTCATCTCCCAACTTCGATCCCAAGCTGTGGAAGAACTCCCTTGTCAAATATGGGCTACCCCACCTACAGAGTCGGGGAAAATAAATAGATGAATGCGAAACAGGATGCCATTATGCCTAGCAAAGTATTGCAGAGGATTGAACCGTGTGCTAGTTTCCGTATCACACATACACACACATGCATATGCATGATGTCAAGGAAACATTATTGCAAACCATCAACTACTAAACTTGTTATCAGTTGTGTTCCTGTAGAAGCCATAGAAGGAGTCCCAGTGCCTAGCCTGCAAAAACATTGGGAAGAAAAGATAATTGAGGAAATGAATGCTGTAGATTGCTACACGTGATTACTAAAAGAAGCTAAAAGAATCCAGAAGCTTCATAAAAGGAAAGAATTGATGAATTGCACTCCATCCATTCAAGAAAGAATCAATTCTATTGTTTGCTGCATCAGTTAAGGTGGCATACTGAGGTTTGACTAGAGTAATCACATTTGAAGGGAATACCTTTATTTCATGCCCTCGGAGTCGTCTCATTTTCAAGTTCTGCGTAACAATCTACTAGAGAAAAAGAACAGTTAGAAATCAACAGTGTAAATGCAAGATGAACGGAAAGAACAGGAAAAGGCCTTCGACCAATGCAGAAGATTTTCTGAAATCGAAGGAACAACCATTGTGCTTGACTATCCTCATATGTAAAGAAACAAAATAGAAAAGCCAAAGCCAGATCTCAATTACCCACAAAACAATTTTGTATATCTATACTTTCTTTCTGTCCTAACTTTTCCATTTTCTTTACCAATAGAGCATGGCAAATTAAATAGAATGATGTTAAGCAGCCTTTAACACCAATTCCAGAAATTTTTCACTCCCGAGTATATTTCAGGATTCATTACCATTAGCTACTACACAAGATCCATGTGCACAACATGCATCCACCTTCTAGAGTAGATTGCCCTATGTTCAAATGATATTTTAATGTAGAGCAGGAGTGGTGGCTTACAAGCTTGTAATTTCACATTCGTGTTTGAGTAGCTTGTAATGCTAACTGGTAATGGTATAACAATGGCCTTTATTTCTGTTTACAACTTTGTCTTGCTCCCCATGGATTATAATGACCACATAAAAGACTAGAATCGTACAATTTTCAGCCAGAAATAGGAAAAGGAAGAATCAACAAACCTTTTTGCGTTCCTGACGGATATTTTTCCTTTTGCTTTGCTTCATATCCATCAAGAACTCATCAAAGCTACAGGAGTATATAGACAAGTTAATAATATGAGAAAATCGACGTGGATGTCCAAAGATTACTGACCTATTGAAACTAACGCGAGACTATATGATAAAATAACCAAACAAAAGTGCACAATTTGATCGACAGATTTGAATTGTAATACTGAAAGAATATTAAATATCTGTTTGTTCCAAGAAATCCTCAATATGATTACACAGACGTAAGGTGCAAATGCAATAGTTGTTCAACCTTAAACGCGGCTTCCAGTAATTATCAGAGCATATATCTAAGCACTTAAAATACTGAATAAAGAAACAGGCCAAATGGATAAGAGCTAAAATATGTGAACTTCCGTTCCTGAAATTAAAGATAGTATGTCGAACAGTCAAATTGCACCGGAATTAACTTAACGATTCATATTAAAGATAGTGTGTTACTGAATTTCAAAACAAATCTGCATAAATCCAAGTATGACATGAATAAATAATAATAATTGCTGTAACCAGCATCTACATTGCTTAAGACGATATGACAAATTGAAAAAACAATTACCTTTTGTAATCACGGTTTGTCCAGTGGTACTGCATTCCAATCCTCTGCAAGAAGCCTTTTTGTGCACATCTAGCCCATTCGGTTTCAGATGGAAAGGTAATGTGCAGAGATGAAATCTGTGACTGCCACAATGCAATAAATAAGATAAGCCAACAGCAGAGACCATATGAGCATGTGTTGCAACACGATATAAAACTGGACAAGATTAGGTAAAATGCCTGTTTGTTCCTTTATTTAACAGTAAATGAAAACAATACATAAAAAGTTCAGTTCCCTGCCCATGAGACTGCAACATTTTTCATATATCAACTCTAATAGTCAAGATCTATCTAGTTCTCTTTATCTAAAACGCAATGAATTTCATAAATACCTTATCAGTAAGATCTTTCATAGCAGAGACTATGGCATCAAAGACCTGATCTTTGAAAGGGTTATTACGGACTAGAATCCTGGGACCAGTAACTGGAGTGAACGGCACACAACTCTGGAACTTAGGGTAATATCTTGCTCCAAAACTGTAGTATGCATCAGCCCAGGCATGATCGAAAACAAATTCACCATAGGAATGGCTGCAATACGTTTTATAGGAGAGAATCATGTACAAACCATAATGTCTGAAGCACATTACAATCAATTCATGTCCACAGAAACACACACCCAAACCTTTTAAGATAAAGTGGTGCAACACCCAAAATAATCTCAGATTCATCCTTTGCAACAATGTGACATGGCGTCCAACCTGTTTCCTGGAACACTTACATTTAACAATCATACAAACGGCAAACCCCTACCCAGATGTCACAAGAATCATATCATCTAGCTTGCGGAAGAGGCAAAGCAGTGGGGTAACACATAAAGTGATAAAATTTAATTAGATTGCTCTAAGAACTCCTGCAGTTCCTTAGGCGAAAACTACAGCTCAAAGACCAGGACACATGGTAAAAATGTGTTGTTTCAATCATACATAGAACATGCAGAAGCAATTGAGGAGTAGAAAAGAAGATGCATATAAAAAGACACGCTCTACCGACCTTCACAGCACAGCCAGTCTCTTCTAAACTTGAGAGGAAGCCATGGCAAAGAAATGGATTATACTTTTCAGGTCCTGTTGCATCCCTGGCACACGCATCCCATTCAGCTGATGGTATCTCCAATATCGAAGAAACGACCACAAGTGATATGAACTTATTCATCGGCTGTTTCTCCGGAGCTTTCTAAATTCAAGAATCAATACAATACTGTTAGAAATTTTTAAAGCACAAACGGCACCGAAAAATCTCACTGGGTTCAGCAAAAGGAGAGAACCTCAATTCCGGATTCTGTTAGAGCAAAACTACCAAGTGAAACATCAAATTGCCGTACTTCCGCAGATTTCTTGGACCTCCAAAACATTGCAGTAACAGTTAAAGCTCGCCGCGAACTCCGGAAATATTCTCTTTTCTGGGAATTTCTCCCCTAAGAGAAGATTAAGAAGCCCATTCATTATCAAATTGAGAAAAAAGCTTAAAGAACCTACAACAAGCTCAACCCATATTCCTTTTTGGCTCCATAATTGCAAACGTGCCTCTGAACATTACAACAACCAAAGCTCCATTGCGAAACAGAATCAAGCAAGTTTGTTCTCTGATGAAGGTTATACCACGAACTCCATCAACAATTCCCATATACCAAACGATTGAAGAAGAAAACATATGTATAGAGACTAAAATCGACTATCATCAAGCAGAAGCAGACAGAATCCGAGTTTAGTTCTTCCAGGGGTTCAACGAATCGACAAATCTTTCAGAAACAGAAATAGAGAACCGAGTATCGACTCCGAAAACCCGTATACTAGCTCATAAAGACAGAACTCACGATGCAACGATGAAACCGATGGAGAAATGGCGACGATTCGCATGAGGGAAGTCTTGTCGCCATGGCCGTACAAGCAAAGCGTGTGTGTGTCCTCCCCCACTACTTTGCTCTCTGCCCTGAAATCACAAATACGCTTGAGGATGCGTCGTCATTTTAGGAGATTTTTTAATTTTTTTTTACATTATGATATAATTTGTTTTTCTTTTTTTACAAAAGTTTATAAAATTAAAATAAAAACGTCATTTCTCACCTCCAATTAATTAAAGTTTTAATAAAAAAAAAAGTGAATGTTCAAATTCTAACAACAATACCTAATTTCTAAACAAAATATAAATTTATCCTTTACTTATCAAAATTTTCTCGTATGGATAAATAATATTGCAAAATTTTAAAAATTCATATTTATCTATAAATCGGGACAATTTCTATATTCGATCTAACAATTTTTAAAATTTATATTTGTTATTGGGTTTATTTGATTAATATTCCTGATAAATTAATTTTTGTTATGATAAATTAATATTAGAATCGTGAATAGTATTTGTATTTTTATCTCGTTAATGGGGTAGTATACTATATTGAGTTTGTAAAAAAAAAAAATTAAGCACTCGATTTTTCAAAATATATTAAATAAATATCTAAAATTTTAATTTTATATATCTCAAATTTTAAAATGTTTCCCAATATCTTTCGAGCGCGCTGACCGGATAAATAAATCTCCGGGCCGGGAATCGAATTCGTTGTTATCTCATGGAATGGATTCATTGCAGGCATCAGGTCCCCCGTGTCCAAGTCTACACCGAATGTAATTCCTTCTTCACCTAATCCATAACTTTGCCTCGAAGGAACATGTGCTTCGCAAAAAAGATATTTTCCAAAGCCCACAACACAGAGGCATGGCGTTGGCGTATATATACGCTCCATTTTAGCACGTCTTTTGATATCGCCTCCCCCTTTCTTGTAATTGCCTCCTCGTTACAATGTCGCGACCAATACCTGTTGAAGGTAAAGCACGAGGCTGCCCTATTTCTTAGTTTCACTTCCCACGTACGTACGTACGTACGTACACAAAAGAAATTTTCGTGATAATTCTTAAATTGAATTTCCTTTACAGAAATGGTGAAACAATTCAAAGGGCGCCACTCTTGCACTCATCTTTTAAGGATGGACAATTTTTCCTTGGTCCGGAAGCACAATATCGGGATGATCGAATCGTCCGTTTTCAGTATCGCCGGCTACAAATGGTTAGCTTAACAAGCAACGGTCGTCTTCCATCGCTGTTGTTAAGTAACATACGCTCATTTGTCTATCTTCCGTTGGTTAAAACTAGGAACCTCGTTCTCTATCCCACGGGAGACGAGAATCCAAACTCGAAGGGCCACGTCTCCCTGTACTTGCAAATACAAGACCTCAAGTCTCTGCCAAGTAATTGGCAGTTGAGCGTCAGATTTAAGCTTTTTGTCCTCAATCAGTTCCGTCAGATCTGGCACGAAAACAACGGTATTTTGCAAATCATTCATTCACCATATGGGGATGCATGCATGCATGCCTTCATGCTGATGTTTTATAAATGTAGGAGACGTGGTGTTCAGTCAATCGAACAACATGTGGGGATTCAGACAAACGATTTCCCTTGCTGCACTTGATGATAGCACACAAGGATACCTTGTGGGTGACTGTGTAATGTTTGGTGTCAAGTTTCTGGGTGTCCAAGATTGCGTACCTGGAACCGCAGAGCGCTTTACCCTGATCGAGAAGCCTCCGAACAACAAGGTGACCTGGAAGATGACGAAATTCTCGACATTCTTGCTTCAAACCGACCATAAGTCCAATGAGTTTTCGATTGGAGGCCGCAAATGGTTAGACTTTAAAGCAAATTCATGTTTCTTGTTGTGTTTTTTTCTTCTTCCTAATCGTTCCGCCTATGATGTGCACGATTAAGGAGAATACTTCTTTATCCGAGAGGATTCGGGGACGGTCAAGACAATTCGCTTTCGGTGTATCTGCGTGGAGATGAACACATGGATAATGTGCTCAAAACAAAGACTTTTGCGAAATTCAAGCTGCGAGTACTGGACCAAATCGCACGCAAACATCACGAGCAGATAAGTACGTATATAAAGACAAAGAGATCAGAGAAGATTTTTGTACGGCTTCAGTATTCGTATTTCTTATTTTGTCGAGTAACGTAATGACCCCTTTTGCAGTTTCCTCGCACTGGTTCACCGTTGAACCAGGGAGTTGGGGGTTCTCCAAGTTTATGCCTCTAGGAGACCTTCACGACCCTTCAAAGGGTTACTTGGTGAATGACATGTGCTACGTGGGAGCCGAGATCGATGTCATATCCATGACCACGCCTTTGTAGTTCTCGCATACCATGATATGGTGCTCTCTCGACGCATACAAACGTATAGTTGTAATAACAAGATCCCGTGTTGTCTCAAAACGTGTACACGACAAAATTGTAACAACAAGATCTACATGATGCAACCCTACCCAAAAAACAAGATCTCGTGTTGTCTAATTATTAATGTGTATAGACAGACGTGTAAGTTGTAATAAAGGAGAATTTCAAATAAATAGCATATCTGGTGCAGGCCCTTGTGTTGTGGAAACATAGAATATTTGGTGGCCAGTCTTGCGTGAATCAAACGATGGAAATAGTGAAAACATAGAATAAAGTGCGACCAAAGGAATGGCACGACGTCAGGGCATGTGATACCAATAAACAGAATTGAATTGGAACTGTACGGCAATCCATCCATTCCCGGTTCCTCCTATCCGATGAACCCTCCTCCTCCGCCATCCGAAGGCTCACCTGGCGAGCTGTCATCACACCCGAGGCTGCCATCTTCATCAGCAGCAGGCCACACCGAAGCCGACGTTGACGACTGGACAAAGCCTAGATCACATCCTGTTTTTCTCTTGCTTTTACTTATTTTTTAGATTTGATAAGATCTTTATGATATGATATATCTCATAATATTTTTCATATATCTCAACAATAAATGGTCAATTCAATTAAAGAATTAGGATCAATCCATAAAACCAAAGAAAATTGAAAATACAAGACATCAAATTATAATTCCAAACATATTCAAACGCACGCTAGATCCTTACCCTACGGTACTAGTTTCACGATCCATAGGACAAGGAGAGATTACAATGAATCTAAACAACATGGTAAAGAAAAGAGATAGAAATTTTTATTCGGTTGTCAATCGCGAAGCAAACCCGTCTCCAGGCCTCCATATGTGATGGAAACGGACGAAAACTGAAATCCCAAACTCCTGTACGGACTTTTGAGTCTGAGAAAAATGTGAAAAAATAATGAACTTCCCCTCTTCTGAACGTCACTGCATCGACCTGACCATCGGTTGATGCCGACGGAGACGTGGAGCGATGGCTGGGTCGAAGTGAGTTGTGTCGATCTTGTCTTGACTTATCCAGGCCTATGGCCGTGTCCCTTGGCTTGTTTTCGCCCGATTTTTCTCCCGGCTGACCCCGTGTTATCTGTGTTGATTCGCCTAGGACCCGTGATCCTCGTTTTCATCCATTTGGTGCGTAAATTGTCATGTGTACTACTTGTCACCTCAGATCTCGCCTGAACTCGTCGTCGATGTTGGATCACGAATTCAAGAACAGAGAGTAGAAACCGAACAGAGAAAGAAAACACACACGAACACAAAGATTTACGAGTTCCCCGATCTCGGTGTGAGATCGCGTATGTCTCGGCGGCTCTGATGAACCAGCAATCCACTAGATGTATGTATCGATTACAAGCTTGTGAGAGCAAAAAGAAAAACCCAGAAAATCCGAGAGAAGAAATCGAACGTGTTCTTCCTCTTTCTGTTAAACCCAGCTCTTATACTCGAGCTTATACAATTACCCATTTGCCCTCTTGCTTCAACGCTTTAAACGACCCATCCATGATGATTTACCACTCTGCCCTTGCAAACCTTCAGTTTGAGCTAGAGTCTTTCTATGTTTTTGGGATTCAAACAAGTCCGAGCCACAGTCTTCAGTCTTCACATCATGTATTTTTGGAAATCCACCAAAGAACGGAACGAAACAGAATACGTGTCTAATATGCTAAAAACATCTAGGGATGTATAGAGATCGAGAGAAAATTATGCATTGAACTATACCAAAATATCATGCAAATACAATGTTATCACATATATAGGCAACAACCAAATAAACCCATTAATTTCCATTGACATCCTGTTAATTTTTTATCTAGTTTTTTAAAGGAAATGTATTTAGTGAGGGAAATTTTGCGGATATTAAAAATTGTATTAATTGGGTGAGAAATCATAATTTAAACCATTGGGTTTATTACCAGTGGATAATTAAACATTTAATTTTCATGCCCACAACATGAAGCAAGAATAAGGGAAAAAACTTGTCCAACAAATCAAGTGAAGCGGCTGCGAATCGAGAATGAGCAGGATTCAATATGGTTCGTTCTTAAGGAATCCAATGGTTTTCAAAGCTTATGGTGGCGGAGTAGGGAACATGGGAGGAAGAGCGGTGTTGTGTCGATTCGTGAAGATTGTGTCTTTAGGAGTGATCATGAAGGAGAAGGAAAGCCGGAAGAAACTTGATCAGCATACCAAATGAGGCGGCTACAAATTGGAAATGAGCAGAACTCGATGTTTTTCAAAGAATACTTGGTTCAGTACCATACATATACAGATACATATATAGATTTATACACCACAAGATCAAAAGAAAATACAAAAAAAAAAGACCAAGTTTTGTTTTTGCTAATCTTAACTTTCAGACCAGATCTAACCAACAGAACCAAATCCCTCACTTGTATTCAGACAATGATGTTTACCCCTTGATTTCCATACCTTCCTCGTGTGATTGATGCCGTGGAAAACGCAATGGTTATGTAACACACTCGATAAAGCAAATGTATTACAGCTTCTTAAGGTCTCCAAGGTGCTGGTGGCGGCGGTGGTGTTGGGAACATGGGAGGAAGAGCGGAGAAGATCGTGTTTTTGTCGATCGATCCAGAACCTCTGTCACCTGACAATGCCACGAGGGCTGCGACAAGACCAGCATTGCCAGCGAGAGTCGGCTCAGTGTAGCTGTAGTTAGTGCGGACATCATGGAACCCGTCGTGCTTGTCGGGACCCGCGACCATGGCTCCAACAATTGTGTTTGGGTTTGGTTTTTTGCTGTCCCTCCACTTCCATCCACCTCTGCAGTTGTATCTGGTTTTGTTCTTAGGAATTGAAGCTCCTCTGTGGTGCACACGTCTCGGGTAGCGTTCGCCAAAGCCCACAACGTAACTCATTTTCCGGGGATTTTTACCAAGGATGTAATCAATCTGCAAAACCAATGAGACGGATAAGACCACCGCCCGTTATTGGACAGGGTGTTACCACGTGCCAAGAATGAAACAAGTGTACCTGAGATCTCGCAAACTCGCGCAGGACATCAGTAGAATAGAAGTTAGGTCCACAGAACCATCCAGGAGTACCGGCAGCATCGAGATAATCACTGTAAAGTGTGGCCAAGAAAGCCGCATTTACAGCAAACTGGAGAGGCTGCGGATGTCCATGATTTAGCCGAATCAAACCTCCTGCAGTTATACCACAAGGTCAGTTTTCAAAGTTTGGATAACTTGACAAGAAGAACGGGTCGTGGAAAGGGACTCATTAAGGAAAAGAAATCACAAAACAGCAAATTACTTACCCTCAGTTCTGCTAAATTTTCTGAAATAAGGCAGGTATGAGCACATAATGATGTTGGTTTGATTGTGGAAGGCACTCAGAACTCCTTCGTACGGGTATCGAGGGCTCATGAACAATCTCAGCCGGCTCAACAGCAACTAAAGCCACGGATAACAAAAGGGTACATATTAGACTGTGTGTAATTGTGGAAACCTATTAGATTTTTCCTTCTGCTTGCTAACCTGGGCACCAGGGAGTTTGTTGTCCCAGCTAAAGACACCATAGTATGGGCCATCCTTGAAGGCACCAGCGTGTTTGGCCAAAGCGGGTTTCGTGATTAGTTCAAGGTAGGTGTTGTTTCCAGTGGCATAATACAGCCAGGCTCCTCCCCAGATGAATTCGTCCCAATACATGGTTGAGTTATAAAACTTGCTAATATCAGCATTACCAGCACTGTATCTGCCCCTCCGGGCCCTTGCAAATTGATAGACCGTCTTAGCACCGTGGACAAGTTTCTGCGAATATGCTTTGTTGTCCTTAAAGACAATGGATGCTGAAGCCAAAGCAGCTGCCATCTCTGCCGCAAGATCCGAGCACCCACCATTACATGTTGACACGGGCCTTTCATAGTCAATATCCTCAGGCCGCATCCAGCAGTAGTGGTCATTAGGAGTTGTACTTCCTTCATAAGTACCCCCAGATCCAACCTGTAAAAAAACTTCATAAGATCTTCGAGCAACATCTAAAAATTCAGAGACGAGTATGTTTTACCTGTGACACCAGATTATCGATTGAATCAGCGGTGCTATTGAAGTTCTTGAGAAAATAGTCGGTGCCCCATTTGATGATCTCTTTAACGTGGCTAAGCTCACCGGCAGCTTCGTATTTGGCACTGTATTCAATGACGCTCCAGCTCAGCATGGTCATGGCGAAAGACATGGGGAAGTTGAACTTGATGGCATCTCCTGCATCGTAGTAGCCTCCAACCAGATCTTTGTAGAAGCTCCCTGAAGTTCCCTTGCCATCTTGCAAGCAAGAATCGCCCCTCCATGGCACGTTATTGTGCTTCGGTAGTTCCCCAGCTGCAGAATGCAAGCATAGAGAAAGTGTTATTATTGTTGTTCCTCTCACAAGACAAGCGCGTATACACTTGGCGCTTTGAACAACCGAAATACGTGAGTAAAAAATGTAAGAAAGACATGGAAACACTTACATCGTTGAGCATTGAAGAACATCAGAGCTTTGTGGAGAGCGGCAGTGTAGTTATTCCGCGGCGGGGTTTGGTCCCGGTGACGCGACGCTGTCTCGAGAGCCTTGTGGAGAGCGATAGGGTAACTATCCTGCGGCCAGTGCTTATGGTTGTGACGTGGCACATTTTTTACGTTCAATGTGATGAATCCGGCAAGAAATCCGGCGGCGAGAATCGTTCCGACAGTCCAGAGGACGATCTTGCGGCTGGCGAGATCGATGTATTTCTTCTTCCGCTCCGATGGACCAAGCAACGAGCTCCGCGACACCGCAGCAGCATGGTCGAGATCCTGAAGATTCCAGCTACGATCGTCGCCGGTTGAGGAATCCGCCGCGTCGATGCTCATGCTCGCTGGAGATCGGGAGTTACGACGACTCGTTACTGACCAGACCTGCCAAAGAACAAAGTCAGAGAGGAAGCGGAACGGAGAAAGCGAAGGAGAAGAAGAAGAAGAAATATATGTGTCGTGGCGGTTGATGCATGGAAATGATTTTGTATTGTTATTAATTTTATATTTAATTCTGATTTAACTTATTTGGGTAAGATATGTCTGAAGGGTAATAGTCAGCGAAAACGCTATAAATCAAGAATTGAAATTATTTTATAAATAAACAAATCTTCATTGAATGTTTCATGCTTCTATTTTGTGTTGTTAAATCGGGAAACTTTGAACGGAGCCTCAAAATCAACGCATTCCCGGTGGTACGGGAACATGCTCACGTGACTTGAAGAAAAGTCGACGCCCAACGATGTGCCTCCGGAGGCACGTGATCGTGTCTTCTATTGCAGAGTTGCCATAGTCAAGTTGATTAGAAAAAAAAAACAAAAAACAAAATATTGGTTATAAAAAAAAATTGTTATAGAAATAAACAAAATTATCTAAAAATAGTCCAATTTTCTATAATTTATTAGCCGGTTTTAGCTGAAAATTTCAGTGCAACTTGTTATAGAGATAAACAAGTACAAGTCGCAGTCGCAGAGTTCTGTATTTTCTCTTTTCTTTTGCTTGTTGTTTTTTGTTTCAGTTTTTCATTTCTCCCGTGTATTTTTTGAATTTGAATATATTTTAGATTTGTATTTAAGGGGAAAAATTTACAGATTTGAGTTGAACAAAGAATTTCATAAACATTTGAGAAAATCACATAAAAATACATGAATTTCTCAATTTTTACATAAAAAACTTAAAACTTTATTTTTGTCAAATAAAAACCCAACTTCATATCAAACTTAAATTTAATAATCGATATCATATTTACACCTAAACGTTCATATACCACAAGTCAAGTCCTTTTTTTTTACCAGGTTGATACGTTACTTTCCAAATGGTTAAATAAAAAGTCATATCATTTTTATTTTAAAAATTAAAAATTTAAAAGGAAAAAAAATAAAAAGGTAAAAAATATATACATATATATATATACACATTCATACATATATATATACAAATATGTATCTATGTACACATATATATACATGCTTGTATACATAAAGTAGAATATATATATGAATGTGTGTACATGTATATATATCTGTTTTTTAAATAAGAAAATGACATATATATATATTCATACATATGTATATACATGTGTGTGTATATATATATATATGTATATATGTGTTTTTTTTTTGTTTTTTTAATATTGTTTTTTAAAGTAGAAAATGATTTCCTTGACCACATGAAGGTTGATATATCAATTTGTCAAAGAGTAGACTTGCCATGTAATTTTTTTTTTCTTTCTAAAAGTGATTGATGTATATTCAAAACTTTGGAGAAGTAATCAAACTTGGTAGTTTAACCGATGAAACGAGGATGCAAAACGTTTGGCCGTCTCTAGTTCGAACCTCAAGTTTGGGGAGGGAGTGTATATTCTAATTCATTTTCCTGGCTCCCGTCTTCGGGATTAGTATGAACTTTGGTTCAAGATATCCGATTATCTAAAAAAGATTAGAGAAGTTTTTTACAAAACAATCATCGGACTGATACAAATTCATAGGAATTCCATGAACAAGTGGGCCAAAATACAAGTTAAAGCTATGAAGCAATTTGATTTTCGTCGGTTCAGTTAATCTTGTCTGCAGTCGGTAAGGAGCTTCAAATTGTTCTGTCGATGGTCTAGTGGATCTGATGCGGCATCCCTTGTGTTCTCTTGAATAGACGAGACTTTCGTTCTCGCCAAGTCTCATAAATTGTTACTTGATAAATCAATCTAATGATAGTGTACATTCTCTTGAATGATCTCTTGTTTTGAATCCTAAAAACCGTTGTGAACGCATATTTGGAGATATCCAAAACTCAACAACAATATGGATCGATAAAATGTATATTTGTTTTGGCAGTAATCTAGTTCGGTATGAATGAGGTATATCTCATCTCGAGTGAAATATACCTTAGTTTGAGTGTTCTATCTAAAGTGTTTTTGATACAGAAACTTTGACACGAGTTGTGTCAGATTTGACATGAGTCGTCTTAATTCTCTTAGAGAAAATTCAAAGTATAACTCAGACTCGTATCAATTTTCACATGTACCGTGTTAGAATTTTGTGAGAAAACTGTGTTCTATATAGAAAAGTGACACGAGTCGTATAAGTTTTCAGAGATGGGAACAAATGCGAATTTCATATAAAAAAATGTCGCGATTTGCTTAGTTTTTTTATAAACTAAAGACCTCAAAATGCGTTAAAAACCAAACTTATTTATTCTTTGAGATATTAGTGTTCTTTTTTATTGTTTTTTCAAAATAAATCAAATGTGTACTCATCTTTACAAACACAAGTTTTTTTGTTTTGATAATGTTTTGTAGACTATCTCTTTTTTATATTTTTTGGAAAGTGATCTACATATCAAGAAGAATTATCCGATTCCTTATTCCTTTGTATCTCGTTCTATACCCAAACTTTCTGTTCTAACAATAATGAGATACAGTAAAGATGTAATGATTTCGTTTTACCCCTCAGTAATTGAAAGAAAATTCACTGGACAATTTTGTGGAAAAATTTATCCAACAACCTTTCAATACGTGTGATCAACAAGCATAACATAGACTTGTATCGATTCCCAAGTGTTGTGTCGATTCGTGAAGATTGTGTCTTTAGGAGTGATCATGAAGGAGAAGGAAAGCCGGAAGAAACTTGATCAGCATACCAAATGAGGCGGCTACAAATTGGAAATGAGCAGAACTCGATGTTTTTCAAAGAATACTTGGTTCAGTACCATACATATACAGATACATATATAGATTTATACACCACAAGATCAAAAGAAAATACAAAAAAAAAAGACCAAGTTTTGTTTTTGCTAATCTTAACTTTCAGACCAGATCTAACCAACAGAACCAAATCCCTCACTTGTATTCAGACAATGATGTTTACCCCTTGATTTCCATACCTTCCTCGTGTGATTGATGCCGTGGAAAACGCAATGGTTATGTAACACACTCGATAAAGCAAATGTATTACAGCTTCTTAAGGTCTCCAAGGTGCTGGTGGCGGCGGTGGTGTTGGGAACATGGGAGGAACAGCGGAGAAGATCGTGTTTTTGTCGATCGATCCAGAATCTTTGTCACCTGACAATGCCACAAGGGCTGCAACAAGACCAGCATTGCCAGCGAGAGTCGGCTCAGTGTAGTTGTAGTTAGTGCGGACATCATGGAACCCGTCGTGCTTGTCGGGACCCGCGACCATGGCTCCAACAACTGTGTTTGGGTTTGGTTTTTTGCTGTCCCTCCATTTCCATCCTCCTTTGCAGTTGTATCTGATTTTGTTCTTAGGAATTGAAGCTCCTCTGTGATGCACATGTTTCGGGTAGCGGTCGCCAAAGCCCACAACGTAACTCATTTTCCGAGGATTTTTACCAAGGACGTAATCAATCTGCAAAAACAATGAGACAGATAAGACCACCGCCCGTTATTCGGCAGGAAAAACACGGGTATGGTGTTGCCATGTGCCAAGAGAGAACCAAGTGTACCTGAGATCTCGCAAACTCGCGCAGGACATCAGTAGAATAGAAATTAGGACCACAGTACCATCCAGGAGTATCGGCAGCATCGAGATAATCACTGTAAAGTGTGGCCAAGAAAGCCGCATTTACAGCATATTGGAGAGGCTGTGGATCTCCATGGTTTAACTGAATCAAACCTCCTGCATTAATAACACAATAATGCCAATAGATTCCACAAGGTTAACTCTCAAAGTTTAGAAAATTTAAAAGCAGGTAGTGAAAAAGAATTAACACACAAAATCACAAAACAGCAATTGACTTACCCCGCGTTCTGTTAAATTTGCTGAAATAAGGCAGGTAGGAGCACATAACTATGCTGGTTTGATTGTGGAAGGTCCTCAGAATTTCTTCATACGGATATCCAGGGCTCAAGAACAATCTCAGCCGGCTCAACAGCAACTAAAAGCACACAGATCAAAAGGGCACGTATTAGATGGTGCAAATCACAAACACCTAAACCAATGTTTTTGTGGGAACCCATATTGGGTAAAGTAGCAAAGCATAGCACACGAAAAAGAAGTCATTACGAAATTAACAGATTATTTTAAATCTCATCCCGTGTCTTGTCTTTCAGAGTAGAAGATGGAGTTTTTCCAGAAACCAATATCCTTACTTTGCACATATTAAAGATTCGAGAAACGGGAAGATGTCTCAAAGTCTAACCTGGGCACCAGCAAGTTTGTTGTCCCAGCTAAAGACACCATAGTATGGGCCACCCCAGAAGGCACCAGCATGTTTGGCCATAGTGGGTTTCGTGATTAGTTCAAGGTAGGTATTGTTTCCAGTAGCATAATACAACCAAGCTCCTCCCCAGATGAATTCGTCCCAATACATGGTTGAGTTATAAAACTTGCTAACTTCAGCATTACCAGCACTGTATCTGCCCCTACGGGCCCTTGCAAATTGATAGACTGCCTTAGCACCGTGGACAAGTTTCTGCGAATATGCTTTGTTGTCCTTGAAGACAATGGATGCTGAAGCCAAAGCAGCTGCCATCTCTGCAGCAAGATCCGAGCACCCACCATTACATGTAGACACGGGCCTTTCATAATCAATATCCTCAGGCCGCATCCAGCAGTAATGGTCATTAGGAGTTGTACTTCCTTCAGAAGTATCCCCAGATCCAACCTGCAAAAAAACTTTATAGCTTGTGATGAGTAATTGAACAACTCAAAGGAAAATATATATGCCACCCAACTTTGCAAGGAAAATAGAACAAAGGTCTCCGAGCAACATCTAAAAATTCAGAGACAAGTAAATTACCTGTGATACCAGATTATCGATTGAATCAGCGGTACTATTGAAGTTCTTGAGAAAATAGTCGGTGCCCCATTTGATGATCTCTTTAACATGGTTGAGCTCACCGGCAGCTTCGTATTTGGCACTGTATTCAATGACACTCCAGCTCAGCATGGTCATGGCGAAAGACATGGGGAAATTGAACTTGATGGTATCTCCTGCATCATAATAGCCTCCAACCAGATCTTTGTAGAAGCTCCCTGAAGTTCCCTTGCCATCTTGCAAGCAAGAATTGCCCCTCCATGACACGTTATTGTGCTTCGGCAGTTTCCCAGCTGCAGAATGAATGCATAGAGATAGCTTTATCATCTAATTCGATCATTTTTTTTAGCAAAAGACCGAATTTTGCTGAATCATCCAGAATCATGGTTTGAAACTTCAAGTTCGTTTTTACACAAAGAGAAAATCAAAGTTCTTCACGGATATAATTCAGAAATGCGTCTGCGACAACGCAACTTAACCTCCAAGATCATGATTTAGCCATTTCATTACATGCTAAGCCAGACCAAGATCTATTAATTTCAGTACACGAAACACAGCCGGATTAGACCATAACAGATCAGATCTTGCAAAACCCATGTGCTGACTAGTAACTAAGCTACTGATCAGTAAATAAAAACCTAATTTACAGGGATTTCCGAACACTTACAACGCTGAGCATTGAAGAACATGAGAGCCTTGTGGAGAGCAACAGTGTAGTTATCCGGCGGCGGATGCTTGTGGTGGTGACGTGGCACAGTTTTCACGATCAATGTGATGAATCCAGCAAGAAATCCGGCGGCAAGAATTGTTCCGACAGTCCAGACGAAAATCTTGCGGCTGACGATGATACAACCGAGATCGACATACTTCTTTTTCTTCTGCTCCGTCGGACCAAGCAACCAGCTCTGCTGCGTCTCGTCCAGAGGCCGCGACAACGCAGCACGGTCGAGATCCTGAAGATTCCGACTACGATCGTCGTCGGTCGCTGAATCCGCTGCATTGATCTCAAGCGGACCGCCCCAAGGATCCCGTCCGTACATGCTCATACTTGCAAGCGATCAATAACTCCAATAACCGTCTACCAACCAGATCTGCCGATGAACAGTATCGATTAGGGTGAAGAAGAAGATAAAGAAGAAGAAAGACAGCTGATTGTGGCTGTGGAGGAGATGGAGTGAAGAAAAGGTGAGCTAATAAAGCGTGAGAGGCAATAATGGAATAATGTATCCTTTGTCTTTTCATTTTGTTATCATATATTAATTTTCTTATATTTTATATTTAATTATTTATATAATTAATTGATTGGACATGCTGTTATTATTTGAAGGGAAGTGGTAGGAAATAACCGGACCGTCAAACCAAACTAAACTCGGATTTATTTTGGTCTAAGTTAATTCAAATCTACCAATAGAATTCCATTAGAATAAAATAATATAAACTAATAAATCGAAAATTAAACCATTATTTAAAACAAAAATTATTTTAGAAAACCATTAAAATTTGGATCCAACGTTATTAGTTCTATTTTGAGCTCTAAATCGAAATTGTGTTACCATACCGAAACCGAGATTTAAAACCAAAATAGGACTATATAAAACGGTCGTATTAAATTACTAATATAATAAAATATTAATATTAATGATTAGTGTGGAGGTGAGTTGGGTGTGGTGGATGATGAAAGACATCCCCACTGAAAAGACGGAGACAGTGTCGGTGGCACGCAAATTTTACTTTTTTTTTTAGTTTCTAATCGTCTCAATTCAAATTATGATTTTTTCTATTTTTTGTATTATTGAAAATAAACATATTGGGAAAAAGTTGTTGCTTTAAAGGATCTTATTGATTTGCATATCTAAACTACTGTCCAAATTCAAGAGATGGGAGAATTCTGAATCTGTAGAGAAACTTAAAAATAATCCAAAATATATTTTCAATACTTTTTTTTTTTTGTTAAATTCAATACTTTATTTTGATAAAAAAAAGGACAAAGAATAGAGAGAGAGAAGGCAAGTGATTTAAGATTTTGCTACAATAATGTAATATTTCATGTACATTTCTTTTGTATACATCAATCCTGTCTCGGTACAAAATCATATACTATAATGCTTCAACCCCTTATATATACCTAGTGAAAGAAAAAAATTGCAACTCGGATAAGAGGAAACCTGAGGCATTAATGGAAGTGGTGTTTTGGGTTTTTTAAGTACAAAAACCAAAAACATTAGCAATCAACTTTTTTTTTATAAAATTAGTTTTCCTAAAGATTTAAAAACCCACCTTGATAAAAAAAAAATCAAATAAAAACTAAAAATCTTCATTTTTTTTGGATTTATAAAAACTAGAAATAAAAATTAGTACCACTCAAAACCTGAACCTTGTTTTTTTTTTTTATAATTCAAAAGTTCAACAGATTTTTCGCTCGACTACATCTCCATAACATCGGGAAAGTCCATGTAAATGTTTATACCCACGCATGAATTTAAATCCAGGATAAAAACATGTTTTGCATGCATCCAAACTTGGGTAAAGCGAACCTTGTTGCCCTCGGCTAATCACACTTCTAATCAAACTTGCTAGCACCTGTGATCATGTTACCCATTTTCCACCGAGAGTATATGGTGATATGTCCCAACACACGTGGATCTCATGTGTGTTATGCTCGAAAGTCGAAACTGATGTCTATGACACTCAAGAATCCCCCGGAGCATAATAGTGAATAGCAACGAGAGAGAATGACGGGAGCTATTAACGCACGGGATGGTAAGTTTAGAGGATGACATGACTTGTCATGAGGATTTAATCTTCTTTTTTCTCCGGGGGTCTTCGCTCTTCATGTTACTGGCAGTTATAAGCCTGTAATCGGTGCGAGGCATTTCACTTAGTTTTCCAAACCGCTGTCCGTAGATGTGCCAGACTTCGGCCCTGACAACATCTAACGTGAGAATATATTTGCCACAAGGCACGCGAGATCATGCGCAAAATGAAATAAATCGAATACCAAACGCCAATCCGATGGAAAACGCTTACCAATATGCCAAGAACTGAAATGGGTGGTACTTCCCATAAACAGCTTGAACTACATCTGTAACCGTTTGAATGCTAGACGCTTTCGCATGAACCTGCTTTAAAACTTGGTCAGTTGCATTGCATCCCCCGAGATTCATTGGAAAAGACAGTTTGCGCCTACCAGAATCGTTACCTGTTTTAGATGTCTGATGGTTTCAGAATCAGCTGGAATAACATGGTAGAATCCCGCGCACATAAGCACATTCGCACATGTAAAGGGACCAAAACCATCTAGCCGGCGGAGCTGCTCAAGGAGACTGTCATAGGTAGATAAGTTTGGCTCCACACAAGCTTTCTCCAGTTCTCGCAGTTGTATTTCGCCTTCAATAATTCCCCGAGAAAGCTTAAGTATCCGGCTTGCTCTGTACCCAAGGTTGCAGCGCCTTGCAAGAAAGTCTTCTTCGAGAAAAGCTAACTCTTTCGGGCCCGGGAAATTTCCTAACTGGGTACAGCAATGGTCTTCTAGCACTTCATTGCAACAATCTCTGGACATCAACTCCGTAACGGCTCTACGATCTAGACATTGGTTACTTATTTGGGATTTGAACATGGCATCCTCGGTATTAACATGCCCATGACATTCCCCCTCAGCATTTGATTCATCAAGCCTTTTCCTTAGACAGGCAGAAATCTTTTTTTGCTCGAAGATACCTCTTTCCCCTCTTTCTCTTCAGCCCTTTAGTAGCCGGGGTCTTTGGAGTAAAATCCTCGGTGTCAGCTCCAACGAACTCCGTACCTTCTTTCTCTCCAGCAGATGATGGGCATCCACTTGATGCCATGGACTGAAGCTCCAGCTGAAGCTCGCACAACGACTGCGCCATGCTCAATGTCCTTGACCACCTATGACATGCTAATAGCAGTTACATACAGAAAGCCACAGCTTTCAAAAACCATGTCCATTACACACTAACAAACCGCCTCAACTGACAAATGTTTGTTCCATATTCCTAGACTTACCCACCAGAACCAGAATCAACATTGCACAGACAAACCCCATGAAATTTAACATCAAACCCGATAAGATGAGCTAAAGCGAATTCAGAGGTATCAAAGGCCTTTACAATGATAAACAAACACCTAATTGGGACAAAGAAAGATTCAGACATGAGGGTTTGACACAAAAAGACATGAGAGACAGATTAAGAGAGACAGAAACGAACTGGCAATTGCAGAGGAGAATGCACTTGACCATGTCTTCGAAGAGCGGCGGAGTAGCCTGCAAAAACATTGGGAAGAGAGCGCCGGAGACCGAAAGACCCTGCCTCCGAAACTCCTCAGCAACTCCTCTTCTCCGTTTTCCGTCATCATCTTCACAAACTCCTTCGCCTTTATCTCCTCCGCCGGCGACAACCGCAGCATTCTACTCACCTGAGCCACGATTGCTCTCCGTTGCGACTCTGAGAGAGACGAAACTCCACAAACCCGGACGCTGAGGCACGGAAGCTCCGGGTGCTGGGAAATACGGACCACGGCGGAGGGGTACGGCGCTTCTCCACAATCGGAGCCATCGAAATCACCGTCAAAATCCAGCGGAGGAAATCGGAGAGGGCGGAAGAGAGAGCGAGAGAGAGGGTCCCATCGATTGGGAGACATCATAAAAAAGCCATGGCTACATACCGCTTTTTCCAGATCGAAAGCCTCCGCCGCCTCGCCTAGGGGCAGTTCTACCGAGCACGAGATCTTGAGATCGTCCCCATCGATCATGTTAGGCCGCTCTCGACAGGGCGGTCGGAGAAATTGCAGACAACCGGATTCTCGAAGCTTGGTGGCGAAACTGAGGTACACGAGCTGTATGGATTCATCCAAGTTCGATCCATGTTTTTTAGATAACTGTAATACACTGTCAGTCAATTACAACCAAAAAAAAAAAACAACAACAAATAGTGTATATATATAAATATAAATAGCTTAATTTTTACAAAATTCGTAAATAAATATCTGAATCGATTTCGAATTGAACATAATCATATGTAAAATAAAAACTGAATTCGAATTGAACGTAATCCTGTGTTTGAAATCGAATATTAATGGAACGTAATCATACATATGAAATCGAACCAGACGAAATCCTATATAAAATCGAATTTGAATCGATTTCGAATTGAACTTAATCATATGTAAAAACTGAAGTCTCAAATTGAACGTAATCCTGTGCCTGAAATCGAATCGAATGAAAACTGAATTCGATATCGAGTACGAATCAAACGAAATCGGACAGGATTGGACCGGACCAAGTGGAGCGTCGAAATCGGACTGGATTGTGACGTAAAATTGGGCTGAGGTAGTTCCGAAATGGACTGATCTGCACCTGGATTGGACCGAACTAGGCAGCCCGACTTAGGTCTCAAGTCCAGATCGAATGGGGCCCGTTTTGGGCTCAGTATTGCGGTGGGACCGGACCGGTCTGGACCGGGATCAGACCGATTTGAGCAATTCTTAGTTGGGCCTTAATCGTTTGTTCTCTAATCTAGATCAGATCGATTTGGGCCGAGATTGGACCGATTTCTAGTCACGAAAAATAACATTTTCCTAGTGAAACTAGGGTTTTTGAAAAAACTTGATGAAATCATTGTTTATAACTCTACGATTTAAGATATTATTTAAGTTTATTTAAACTAATCCAAAATATATTACTTGAGTTGGAAGAAATTATTACTTAGAAATGAAGAAAGTTCGGGTAATGGATTGGAGAGTAATAATGTAATTTAATTGTATGAAGACTGTTTTTCGATTGTAGTTGAGCCGAATACGCAATAAACCAATTAGAATACCAAAAACAACAAAATCGTATATCGGTATTGGATTCAATTTAATTTATATTCAAATTCAATTTTTTTAATAAAATTATATTTTTATAAAAAAATCATTTTTTGGATTTATTTTAATATTATGTATGTAGTTTTATTTATTCGATTTTAAAAATAAATAAATAAAGTTTTTGTATTAAATTAGGTTTGGGTATTGTTATCGGACTCAAAATACTTCCGTTTTACATGAAAGAAAATGTGAGATCCACAAAACCCACATTGTTCCTTAAGCTCGATTTCATGTCCATTATTAGGTACGAAAACCCTAATCCCTCACAGAATTGGTTGATATTAGGTTCGAAACCCTATGATTCTATTCTGGCACGAAAACCCTAATCCCTGCTCCAGTTTCGTGTTCATAACGCTTAATTTTTTGTTGGATTTTGTTTGGAATGATTGCTTCAAGGTTTAGAACAAGTGATGATCGCACGTGTGAACACTGAAGCTCATTCAATTTCAAAAGGCCAAAAAAAAATGAAGTTGGTAAGTGGCTTGTACTGATCGTTTCTTCGACGACAACGACGTCGTTTTCAGCTCCTCTGTGGCTTAGTCGCTGACCATGACTCCACCAATCTTCTCCAGTCTCCCAATCGAAATGCCCAAAAGCTGTCTTCAACAGTTTCCAGATTTAAAAAAATGCGAAGAATTCAATGGCGTGTTTGATTGCTTCGTGATGAAATGTTGAAGGCAATGATATTATATATGCATATATAATAATTATATATGCCATCAAACAAATCCTCAGGATCCATTAATTGAAACCCATCTCAGCTCCTGTGGTATTGGAGTTCAGCGGTTTCAGTTCAATCCAAAACTAGAGTTAAGATCACGGAATGTCGTCGGATCTGTGAAGATATTTTCCCATTTTCGTAGTTTGATGCAATTTATGGCACTATTTAATTCTACACGACCAACCGTCTTGATGGGTGGGCTCCACCATCTGCGTCAAGACAATCCATTTGTCATCTTCTTGCAAAAAAGTTGTTTTTCATATTAAATGTTTTGTTTATGATTTTGTTTTCCGGATTGTTTGGTGGTTGACTTTTCATGAACAGCTCCTTTTCGGTCTTCGATCATCACTTTCATCTTATCTATATTTTAATGTATGTTGATGCAAATGGAACAAGTTTGAACGGTTCATCGCCATCATCTCATACGCTCTGTGTTCAAAGTCTTCCATTATGTTTCTCGAGTGATCCCCACATGGTTCCAAGAGGCATACTCGTGTTTTTCTCAACCTTGGGTTTCTTCTTTCATGATCTTTAGGGGTTTCCGACAAGACACAATCTTGTGGGTTTCTGTTTTGTTCGCAAATGGGTTCAACAATTCGATCCCTTTTGCTGGTGGTCCTGGTGGTTTTCGTCGAAATTTGCTCGGTAGCTTCTCAGACAGATAGTCGCGACAGTAAGTATGCTCATCGTTTTTTCTGGGATTTTGATCGATCTACTTTGCTTTTACTTCATCTTGAAACTCTTCTGTTGATATCCAGAGGTTTTGTTTCTTAAAAAAAAGTATCTGAACCCTGTTTAGATGTTTTGTTCCCCCGAACATGGGAACTGGAATCTTGATAGTAAGAGGAATGGCATATCATGAACAGTGGGAGACCCTTGTAATGTTTGCAGGTGCTGGTTTAAAAGCCCTCATGGATGGATGGAAGAATTTTCCACCAAACTGGCAAGGCTCGGATCCTTGTGGAGCAAATTGGGTTGGAATTTCATGCACCAACGGCCGCGTTACATCTATGTAAGTATAGTTCCTTCAAAAATCTGTTTACCGTTGAAAGTTCGGTATATTCCGGAGAATTACTGTGATCTCTTTGTGTTTCAGAGCACTATCGAACATGGACTTGGAGGGGACGCTTCCCGGAGACATTTCGGCATTGTCAGAGTTGCAAATCCTGTAAGTCTCTGTGCTTTGATCGCCTTACATCATCATCCGTTCATATATCCGTTTTGTATGTTTCTCGAGTGAGCATATCCGATTACGCATTTATGCGCTTGATCCTTTGTTTCAATCTTCCTTCTATACGTTCTCGTCCGAATGACGTGCCAAAATGTGGTAAACGTTAATTAGGTTTTGTTAGAATCACACATCACCCGAATATGACATCGGTTCATGCCTTGTAAGATTATGGACAATTTCTCCGATAAGCTAGCTTTTAGGGTGGGCGCAAACCGCCAACGCCTTGGTCTTCCCTGTCTAAAGGGGACGTTATTATTAGTCAAACGGTTGGCTCTGTCAGGTTTTCATGTACAATGCCTAGGAATATATGGCTGTTTTCGTGGAAGAACCCTTTGATGTGGAAATCGTGCTCTATGGATCAATTTGTTCTCATGGCGTTCAACGGATTCTGGTTGTAGGGATCTTTCTTACAATCCTAGTTTGGCTGGAACGCTTTCGCCAGGGATCGGACAGCTAAAGAAGTTGAAGAACTTGTAAGAGAATTCGATCATCGACAAAGAATCTTTCCTTTTCCCAGTTGTTTCTGGCCACCGTAACTCTTTCTCTCTCTGTTCGTTTCCAGGATCCTTGTCGGTTGTAGTTTCACCGGCGCGATCCCCGATGCAATCGGTTCCCTGACTCAGCTCGTATATCTGTAAGTTTTCAGCTCCGTAAAGACTTGTCTTTTGCGTTCTGCTGATCTATTTAGGAACGACGAAACATTTTGTTAGAGATACAGAGAAGATTCAATAAGATTACGGAAATGTTATCGTGATATATACGATGGAAATTTCTATACATCTCTGAAACATATAAGCTCATATCGGTTTAATCTTATGTTCCATTGCAGATCACTGAATTCGAATCAATTTAGTGGAAGAATTCCAGCTACCCTTGGTCAGTTATCAAATCTCTATTGGTTTGATATAGCCGACAATCAGATTGAAGGAAGCATTCCGGTATCAGACGGAACTTCACCCGGCCTCGACATGCTTATCCATACAAAGCATTTGTACGTTGTTCTATCTCTTTCGTATTCGCATGTCTGTTCAACAATTCCCCTTGTCTCAGATATGCATTTTCTGTCTTCGATCAGAATGGCATTAGTGACATCGTTTATTTTCTTGCAGCCATTTCGGACAAAACAGACTTTCGGGTGAAATCCCGGAAAAGCTCTTCAGCTCGAACATGACTCTGATACATGTGTAAGTTCCGTTCCGACGTTCTGATGCACTGGTTCCATCTCCATCAATAGAACTTTGTATATACTTATATAGATATACACACACATACATGTATAATGTATTCCTTCCTCTCCATTGATAGGCTATTTGATGGCAACAACCTGCTCGGAAAAATTCCGGATAGCCTCGGCCTCGTTCAATCTTTGGAAGTGCTGTAAGTTGATGCAGCTGCTTATTTTGATTAAGAATTTGGATGGTATCTAACTCCTGTTCCGTCTTTATATCTCTTGCCATTCTTCTCCTACAGGCGTCTCGATAGGAATTCACTGAGTGGAAGTGTCCCTTCAAGTCTTAACAGTCTGACAAGTCTTAGCGAACTGTAAGTGAACTGCAGCCCGAACAACAGCATTTTCGTCCGTCTTTCTTGCATCGTGTTTTAGTTTCTAGTTAAACCATTTCAGGTACTTGGCCAACAATAAACTAACTGGTGGCCTCCCAAATCTGACCAGCTTGATCAGCATCTACACACTGTAAGTACTGAATGCAATTCGACTTCTTCCTTTTCTTCATTCAAAGTTTTTTTTTTTTTGGATTTCAATGACACTATGGGATTGCAATGTACAGGGATCTGAGCAATAATAGCTTTGACCCATCAGGAATTCCACCATGGATTTCTGGATTACAGTCCCTGTCCACTTTGTATGAACATCTCTCTCTCTCTCTCTCAAAACAAGAAGGCTCGGGCTCTTGTGTCCATGTGATCCTGTTCAGGGCAGTGCCTGATCATATTTAACTTGCAGGAGGATGGAATATATACAACTTCAAGGTCCTATCCCAACCTCTCTCTTCAGTCCTCCTCATCTGCAGACAGTGTGAGTATATCCATTTACATGAGAGGAACAAGCTTTCCTTGTAAAACATATCTTGGTTCTGTCTGTGCTGTTAACAAAATCTCTGTGTTATTGATATGTTTACTGAAATACTTATCGCTTGTGAATGCTTTGACTTGCAGAGTGCTGAAACGTAATCAGCTAAATGGTTCCTTGGACTTTGGCACTGGTTATAGCAGTCAGTTGGAGTTCGTTGATTTGCAGAGCAATGGCATATCTGCGTATAGACAAGGACCTCAAAATAGCATTCAAGTCATGTAAGTCATTCTTTGCGTGTCTGCTGATTCAGTGAACGCTAATCTAAATTTTGTAAAGCTTCCCAATTGAAAAGTGTTATTGTTTCTGGTTAAACACAGTTTCTTCTTTTACTTTTCCGCAGATTGGCAGATAATCCGGTTTGCCTTGAGTCAGGTCCAAAACCGGCTTATTGCTCGGCTATCCAACCGAACTCATCGTTTTCCACCCTTCCAGATAACTGTATACCTCCTCAATGTGGTTCGGGCATGGTCTCGAGTCCCAAGTGTGGTTGTGCATATCCATACACGGGGACCATATTCTTGAGGTCTCCTTCGTTTTCTGGATTCGTCAACGCAAGCATCTTCGTGCAACTTCAGCAAGATATAACGGGTTTCTTTCAGCAACGTCGTTTTCCCGTGGATTCTGTCTCTCTCAGCAATCCAAGAGAGAATCTAACCGATCATCAGCTTTTGATAGATCTGAGTATCTTCCCATCCGGCCAGGACAGGTTTAATCGTACGGGAATCTCATTCGTCAGTTTTGCTCTCAGCAATCAGACTTACAAGCCACCAAAGATTTACGGGCCTTACGTTTTCAGAGGCGAAAAGTACACTCACTTCTCGGGTAAGAGCAAATATTACATTCAAACTTGTTTGAGCAAAGCACTATGGAACTATATCCTAAAGTTTCCAGCTTTTTTTTCAGATGGAGGAATTGGATCCAAATCCTCCAATACCGCCATTGTCATCGGAGCTGTAGTTGGTGGAATTGTTCTGCTTCTGCTATTAACCTTAGCCGGGATTTACGCTTTTCGCCAGAAGAAAAGAGCAGAAAGAGCAACTCAACAGAATGATCCTTTTGGTAAGATGAAGAGCTCATAAAGCTCCTCCATGAATATCTCGGATCTGTCACGAACATTCTTACAGCTTCGAAATTCGATGTGCAGCAAAATGGGACACCAGTAAGAACAGCATCGATGCTCCTCGTTTGATGGGATCCAAAGCATTTACATTTGAAGAGCTGAAGAAATATACAGACAACTTTTCAGACGCAAACGATATAGGGGGCGGGGGTTATGGGAAGGTTGGTCTGACTCCCATTTCATTACTGTCTCATTTTGTACATACTGATCACGTTTGTCCGTAATCGACTTTGTCACGTTTGCCTGACATTACCGTAGCTTCCAAGTGCCTAAAACTGCTTACAGAACTGTTGCAAACAGCCTACCTAATCTACATCCAAGTGCCTAAAGTTATTTCCTTGCCTTAAGGACATTAGCTAATCTGGCTACAATAATGAGACTTTGTTCTTGTTTTTTGTTCCCTTCCAGGTCTATAGAGGAATTCTCCCCTCTGGACAACTAATCGCTATCAAACGTGCTCAACAAGGATCTATGCAGGGAGGTTTGGAATTCAAAACAGAGATCGAGCTGCTCTCTCGGGTCCATCACAAGAATGTTGTCCGGCTCTTGGGGTTTTGTTTCAACCGAGGTGAACAAATGCTGGTATACGAGTATGTCCCGAACGGCTCTCTAAGGGACAGTCTATCAGGTATCTCGTTTCTCGGATCAGCGTCAAATCTAAAAGTCTGTAAAAGAATCACGGATTGGCTTGTTAACTCTAAGAACATGCATCCTACATCTTCTTTAATCCGTTTTTCTGGCCAATTGCTCAATGTTTATGCAGGGAAGCCATCTCAGCTCCTGTGGTATTGGAGTTCAGCGGTTTCAGTTCAATCCAAAACTAGAGTTAAGATATTGAAAAAACAATTCACCTTCACAGTTTTGTTAATATAAGCAGTGGGTTTTGCCATCAATGAAATGCCAGCTGAGGGCATTATAACTTCCCAACCGGTGCTTTCAAGTACCTGCTCAGAAGTTGGAAAAAGAGTAGTAGACAAATAAAATCCCAATCAGGACCAATGCAAGGAAGAAGAATGCGTCCTACGTTCTAAATAGGGTGTGTGACCTATTTGCCCAACAATAAAGAACGATCATAAGCCTCCTCTTTGCAGGAAGACGATCACAATAGAAAATGGAGAGAGACTCGAGGATGTGCTACTTTCCAGATAGGGTGTGTGACCAACATAGGTAGTGAATGATTTGAGGATGAAACGAAACCCAACTACAAACCATGTCTGATTTTCATCGATAACCATTTTCAATCTCTTTCCAGAACAAGACCTATATCATTCTGAATCTGAAGAGCGGAATCAGATTGGACTGGACGAGGAGACTTAAAATAGCTCTTGGTGCAGCGAGAGGCCTTGCCTATCTTCACGAGCTTGCTGATCCTCCGATTATACACAGGGACATTAAATCGAATAATATACTACTCGATGACACTCTAACCGCAAAGGTTGCAGATTTCGGCCTCTCTAAGCTTGTGGGCGACCCTGAGAAAACTCACGTCACAACACAAGTAAAAGGAACTTTGGTAAGTGATCCTTTTACTTCCAGGTGGTGAATATAGCTTATGTTTTCACTCTCTTTAACTCCAAGTGGAAATGTTGAATACCCTTCTGAGTATTCATAGAGCAGAGAATTTGTAAAATCTTTACGGAAACATATCAGTTAATCCCGTCTGAGAAAAACGACTTGATGTCTTGATGCAGGGTTACCTTGATCCTGAGTACTACATGACCCAGCAATTGACAGAGAAGAGTGATGTTTATGGCTTCGGTGTGGTCATGCTGGAGCTATTAACCGGGAGACCTCCGATAGAACGGGGAAAATACGTCGTGAGGGAGGTAAAGACGAAGATGGACAAATCAAGAAACTTGTATGACCTGCAAGAAGTTCTTGATTCTTCGATCATCGTGAGCACGACCCTGAAGGGGTTCGAGAGGTTTGTTGACGTTGCCCTTAGATGTGTGGAGGAGTCCGGAGAAGACAGGCCATCGATGGGTGAGGTGGTGAAAGAGATTGAAAACATCATGCAGCTCGCCGGTATGAACCCTAACACGGATTCAGCATCCAGTTCTAGAACTTACGACGACGCGAGCAAAGGATCGGGCAATCCCTATGGCACTGAATCTTTTGAGTACAGTGGGAACTTCCCGCCTTCAAAGATTGAACCACAATGACAATCATCAGGTGAGATTCTCCATACATTTTGATCATTTGTTTCATACTTCCTATGTAGAGTCTTTTTTTTTTGTAAGCTTTTGATTTGCAGAAACCTGACAAAATCAAACAATGTGAAGTGGCTTTATTCCTTTTGTTTTTTTTCCCTGGTTTGTGTATATGGAACCCAATGATTTGTATTCTTGTTTCCACAACTTCTCAAGAACATGAGGCAAGCAAAATACATTGTTGATAGGTAACTTTGATGTTATAAGGTGGTTGAACTGTTGTGTATTGATATTTTGTGGATTTATCGGCATTGATGTTTTCACGAAAGCATCCTAAAATATACTTTGCTTAGAAATTATACATATTCATACCTTTTTATAACCGGAAATTCACTAGAGTTTTGATCCAATTATATCTGCCAGAAGATCGGAAAAATATAGATGAATGTCCTTCTTCACACTTAGTTTTGAATCCGAGGTAAAAAAAAAAAACAAACACCAAAAACAACATTCAACACCTATTACAACATTAATGTTTATACATTAACACACGAAGACAAAACACCAAATATGATTATAGAGAACACAAACACAAACAAAAAATGTTCATCTTAAAAACCGCCACATACATCATGGAGTGGTTTCCCACCTTCCATGAATGCATATCTTCATCAGAGGTTAGGGTTTTTCCTGCCAAGAAGATATACAGGTTCAAGCCTTCCAGCCTTCCATGTAAGATACAATACAGTTTTGAGTTTGTTAATTGTCACATATCAAAGAAACGCAAGTGTTACCGTCAAGGATTTTGCAGAGACTTATCCACGACAACGGGGACACATTATTCGAAACAATTGAATACGGATAACAATATGGGAATTCACAAACAGGAATAACACAACGATGCCTTTCAATCACCGAAACCATAAGGGAAAATGTCATCTCGGGCATTTGCCGTCAGGACTTCAACCACTGAGAACGCTTTTGAACTGAGATATCGATCCAATAGCCTTCTCAAACTCACTGTCCTCCAATGCAAAAGAAAAGCGGCAGTAGTCTGGGACTCCAGTCCAAGCGCCGCTGTTAATGCAAATGCCGGTATGCCTGAGAAATGTGTCCCGGATATTGGAATCCATAAGCTTGACTTCTTGTTCACCGGGTAATTCTCCTTGGTCATCGGAATGGTTTTTCACCTTCACAGTTTTGTTAATATAAGCAGTGGGTTTTGCCATCAATGAAATGCCAGCTGAGGGCATTATAACTTCCCAACCGGTGCTTTCAAGTACCTGCTCAGAAGTTGGAAAAAGAGTAGTAGACAAATAAAATCCCAATCAGGACCAATGCAAGGAAGAAGAATGCGTCCTACGTTCTAAATAGGGTGTGTGACCTATTTGCCCAACAATAAAGAACGATCATAAGCCTCCTCTTTGCAGGAAGACGATCACAATAGAAAATGGAGAGAGACTCGAGGATGTGCTACTTTCCAGATAGGGTGTGTGACCAACATAGGTAGTGAATGATTTGAGGATGAAACGAAACCCAACTACAAACCATGTCTGATTTTCATCGATAACCATTTTCAATCTCTTTCCAGAACAAGACCTATAGACACCAAACACAAGAAAACATGAACTTTGTGAGAGTGAAGCATTGTTATACACCAGAGAATGAAATGTGGAAACCTTGGGCCTAACCTGGACGTTTCCTATACGTTCGCAACTAGAATCCTACAGTACACCAGTCTGTAAGTTTTGTACTAATTTGGAGACGCAAAAGGTAGTTTATCGAGGCAGAATACATTACCTCCTTTAAGCGCTTAGATCTGATTTCCAATGTTTTCACATTTTCTTCAATGGCGTTCAAAAGTTCGCCAGCTTTCTCTTCTTCAAGAGCCAAGAGCTTCTTAATGGCGTACTTGACAGTGCTGTGAGGTTTGCTCAAACCCGGAAGGGTATAGAAGGCATCAACAAGAGAGTGATCCAAAACCACATAGCTAAGTTTGAGCACTCCACTGAGTAAATTCAGAGAAAGACATCCAAGGAGGGAAACAGAAAACGATGGGTGGCTAATTGAATGCAGTTTTGATAAAATTTTCTCCAAGTTCCACCCGCCCCAGCTAGCGGACTTGTATTCTAATCCGGAAAATGAAGTATCAATGATTACCCTTGCTCCCAATTTGGCACATGCAGACAACAATACTTCCATCTCCTCATTGCTATAAATCATGCCTGTTGGGTTAACTGTTGGTCCAGATATGCAAACCCATGGCTTCTTAACAGTTTCAAGCACTTTAGTAAGTGTTGTTTCTGTCACCTTAAAGCCATCGTTTGATTCCGTCGGGATTTTCACAACATTTGCTTTCAAAAATTTAGCAGAAGCCACATGTATCCCATTTGAGCCAGCAGGTAAACAAAACGTTCCTCCTTCTTGGGCACAACAAAGGACCAGCTTATTGAATAGAGCTTGTGAGCAATCAGCATAAATAAACCCAGTGCTGCTTCCAGTTGGGAAGCCGTAATTACTGTGAACGAATTGTTTAATACTTGGGGTCACATCAACCTCTGCTTCGGATATATTCTGCCTCACGAAACTTTCAAAGATTGCAGCCTTAACAGACCTTGGTATAGGCAAGAAACTTTGGTCCACATCCATGTGGATAAGGGGAGCGTTCTCCATTTCAGTGACCGAAAGCTCAGCATCTTTTAGAACAGAGACAACTGAGCTAGAAAATCCAACTATCTCACCAGAGTTTGTCTTCTCACTCCCCCTCTGCACGCAACATAACAGAGAAATCAGGAAGAAAAATTTATGGGTAGTCAGAACAATACAAATGAAGATCAATATTAGACGGATCACAAAAGTAAGAACAAAGGTTTTCATGAATTACAAGAAATGTTATCCTTTTCAGTGTACATAACCGAATCCAAAGACAAACAAACATTAGCATGAAAACGAAGGGATGAGGCAGGGGTTGACTGCTTCACTATGGAGGCAAACAACATGTAATAAGCGCAGCATTCTACCATGCAAATATTAAACAATTTTTTATACATAAACAAGAATATTCAAAAATTGTTGTTCTGCTCATATTGTGCAGACTTTTAAGATTTAAGGCATCATTGTATGACAAGATCACAATTGCAAGACTTAATTCGAATCTCACACATACTTTTCACCTGTTTTGGTAAGATTTACCAACCTTTCCATGAATCCATTCTACAAGTCTGAATCCGGGTTTCAGTCTTGGGCAAAGGTTAGAGCACTATGCATCCAATAGGAAATGCAAAAACTGATATACACTCAGAAAAAAAAAAAAAAACTACACACCTCAGCCGGTGGGTGGCGATCAGTGAGCTGGAAAGCTAGAAGCTCATGGAAAAGGCAACCGTAATAGGACTGACTGATAATAGCAGTATGACCTTCCAAGACTTCCACTGTTTTGGAGAAGGCCTCACAAATGCCATTCTCTTCTGAGATGATAAAGGCTACTTCTAAATCTGAATAGACCTGTATAGTGATAGTTTGATATTAAAAAAAAATATCAGAATAACAAGATACGTGAAGTTGTTATTAAAGTTATGTCAATTCATTCTGAATCTGATTAGGTAAAACAGAAAGCATACTCAAGCAGTTGCTTGCAAAAAACTGTACCTTATTCTTAACCAAACCGCAAACAATTGCTGCATGAGAGGGCAGAGGGTTTTCTGCAAGATATTTTAGTACACCATTGGATGCTGGGAGGCTAGACAACTCGAAATGATCTGATATATCCAAGAAAAGACGAGATCCAATCTCTCTCGTGACATCCAACAGGTGCACAAAAGATGAACTGGTAATGACCTCGAACTGGGCCATTCCAGTAACCACTACCTGTGGCTTTAGCTTCTTTATAAGCTCTATCATTAAATCAGATTGGTGTGGCGCTTCAATGACTGTGAGCTGATCTTCTGATGCTTCTGGGCTTGTGTTCTACAAGCAGTAAAAGTATGTTTTCGTTGCGTGCATAGCATACAAAAGTCATTCATTAATCTTCACAAAGCTATGTTCAAACACCATACTTTTAGATTCAAAGTGACATGCTGGTGGAATAATGTATCATTCAGAGACTCAAATAGCATTAGCAAATTCAGTCAGAACAGAAAAAAAATACATTCTAGGATCAGTATAGATAATTAATTTTAAGTAAATAGTAATCTTGGAAGGTCATATCAAGGAAGAAGCAGTTGCAAAATCATTATTCCATCCTTGGTGCTACAAACTGACTCATTCTATGCAAATGAAACTCCTGAGAACTTGTAAAACATCATAAATATTTATTTGAATAGTATTCGACTAAAATTTAATAAAAGCCAGATTTCACATACTGGACATATGTGACTAAACTTTAATAAATTGCCCCATCACTATACACCACATAAACAAGGTCACAGACTGAGCTATGCAATTCAAGATGAATAAACAGACAATAAGCGGCCGAAGGAGACAATTTTACCTTAATGGTTAGGGAGGTTAGCCAGCTTCTTGGAAGTTGACGAGTTAAGTGCTCATCAACAATTGCAAGCTGAGGGGAAAGCAACCGCAGTGCACTCTCAATTGCCACAGCCCTTGAGGGAAACACCACAATATTCTTGCAAAAAGAAAGAAACAAAATCATAATTAATTAAAACTGCAGCACAGAACAACTATTACAATGTTAAACAGTTGGTGAGCTCAAAGGTTTTAAATTTTTCTTTTTTTTATTCCTCAAACCAAGACTGTTTGAAATATGTCAAATGACCTCACATCGTACCTAAAAACATAATAAATAAACTGGCATCGTACGAAACAAAATCATAAGCAGCCAGAGAATAGGCTTACATCTTGATTAATCGGGATGCGGTGGTATGTCCTCATAAAGCCTGAAATTAGACTACAAAATCTCTTGCTGCCAGCTGGAGGCTCAAAAGGGAAATATGAGCTAGTTTTCAGAACGTTGGCAAGATAGGCCAGGAACGGAATTTTCTCATCTGCAACAGCTTCATCTTCAAAAGATAAATCCAGCGAACTGCTGATTTCTTCAAATCCGTTTTTCAGAAAGTCAAAGATCATCTTAACCTGCCAATTGTGATCACTTGACTAATTTCATTCTTGTTCATGTACATACAATCGTACTATGTAGAAGGAACAGGATATACAAACCTGATTTGGTTGGCGAAGCTGACAACTAAAGACTGATAAAGCGTGAGAGATACGCCCACCAGCATTCCCATAGGCCCATGCTGTCCGGGCACAAATGGGTTGGTCTCCAGAAAGTCCCATAAAAAACTCAAAACGATGAGGGCTGTTCCTCTCAATTTCAACTAATGCTGAGATATCAGTATCTGCAGCCTGTGAAAACACATAAAAGGAGGAGGACCATTATTTAGGAATATGAACTTTCACAAATTGAGGTTTAACCTGAAGTATTTTAGTCTGCCAGAGCTGTGTAACACGGATTCCACGCCGCTCAAATAAGTGTCTACAGACAGCTTGTCCTGGACGGCCACCCATGTTGAATATCATAATCCCTGTTGGCTTAGAGACTGCTATTCCTTCTTCAACGGCTCTGGCAATCAAACCTAAGCCAAACTGATCCTCAACAAAACCCTGAAAAAGGATAGAACTTATCAAATTAGAAAGATTCATATGCTCCAGAAAATGCTCTGTTATTAATAACTACGGATAGAATATAAGCGAGAACATGCCATTGATTTAACGAGGTGACCAACACACCGGAAGGCAGCAATATTAGCTCATGTCCAAAGATATGGCTAAGAGAGAGTGACTAACGATTTTAGCAATTTACAGATGAAGAGCGTGCATTTGGTTTAAAAAGGAGACCAGTTTTAGAGAAGCAAAATATCGTTTGAAAACGTGATATTTTGGATCTATGAATATTGTTCGCTTGATCATAACCACTAATGGTTATTACAGGACAAGGGTGGTGTTACATATAGAGAGCGGTAAACAAGGGAAGAAAACGTTACTCATCACAGACTAAAACATCTAATGATCTATAATGAAATAAGATCAGACTAGAGAATGTTAGATGCTAGCGTCTAACAAACATATTCAGGCTATTTTCCTGATATCTTTTTCCTTACCTGAAGGGCACAATAGTTACTCAGTGAATGTAGAAAGTCCTCACTGGCATTTTCTGTTATCATCTTAGACATTGCATCTGGGTTTGGGTTAAGAATCTGCCAGAAGAACAAATAAGATTTTGAGTTTAACCACACATTATTTTAGTAGAAAAATGGTCAAGATTTGGAAATCAAGCTGAATTTTGTTATCTCTATTGAATGAAATACAAAGTCCAGAAAAATGTTTGAAGGATAAAAATACCTGAGGAATGCATCCAACAATTCTATCGAGCTGAATTTTGTTATCTCTACAATAACCAAGCAAATCAGATTCATAGAACTCCACCCTGTCCAGCAAAGTTTTCTTCTCATAATCATAGACAGGTTGGCCATTTTCATCCAGAGCATTTAGGTACAAATTTATCCAAGAAACTTTCACTGCTCGAGGATTAATATCAAGCCCATAAACCTGCAGAAAAGGTAGCCATAAATTTAAATGATCATGTCCTTAATATCTGGCTTACTGAAATTAGGACCAAAACGATCCTTGAGCATTTTCAGTTAATGAAATTTAAAGAAATATCTAAATGAAAAAACATGACTTTTGTAACATAGTGACCTTTGAAGGCAACCACTTAGCAGCTAGTGCAATGGATATCCATCCATTTCCACAGCCGAGTTCAGCTACCGTCTTATCTTTGAAGATCGTGTTAGGATGTCTATTAAGTCCTTCATAAAAGGTGAATGACCAGTCTTCCGGAATAAAAATACTAGGAATGACCATCATGGTCAACTTCTTCCTACAATCATAGCCTGCAGAAGAGAGTTTGATGTAATGGAAGCAAAGAAAAACATAGTTACCAAGTTAGCACAACCAATATATGATGGTATGCCATGCTAAATTGGAAAAGAAATATTAACAAGAAATGAGCCCAAAGTATTCTAAATAAAAACTCCAACCCGATATAGGTTGCATGGAGACAGAAACCTGGTCAGAAACTGAAATCTTGGGGAAGTAAATGGCCTCATGTTATTCACAAAACTGAAGAAAATCACTAAAACATCAGGATGTATCAAGGAGGTAAATCACTTGTGAGGTAGCAAGAGAAACGGAATTCTTTCTTGTTTGCTACATAGTGTTCTCTTGATGACAATACGACCGAAATATCTGTCCTTCAGTTTGTCAATGAGATCCCAAAATATTGCATTTATTTGTGCTAGGCACAAAATAACAGCTGAAGTTATAGATTCTAAAAGTGTCTGAAATTTGGAACTGTTCTGGACCTGTTCTGCCATGAGCTGGTTTTGATGACAAAATCAACAACAAGAAATGTGTGGTGATATAGGTAATTAATCGGGGGTTCACAGAAAGCCATTAGTAAAGGAAATTTAGCTTCACCGATCTACAACCAGGGGACAAAAAAAGAGAGAAAGAAGCGCAAAACACAGTGAAATTTACTCAGACTAGCAGTTGCGTGTCACCGCAGTCCCAAGAAAACGACAGCGACCACCAAAAGCTAAAGATGTATTTCTTAGTCAATGGATAAGCAAGGACGCATCTTGTCTAATCATGAACTGCAGTCAAACCACATCTCATCACAAATACGTTCCCGGGAATTCGGGGCATCAAACCAGGAAACCCATTTTTCAGCCACGCAAAACAGATCAAACCCAGCAAAAACAAGTTACAACGCCATAATCAGTGACGCTCACAACAGCATCAAACCACTCTACGGAGCTCGATTGAACCAGGTTCTTCAGTTCATATCGATATCATCATTCCACAGCTGAATTTCAAACGATCGGTGAAAAAATAAATGAGATCAGAGGAACGAAGAACAAGCGAGACGATATCATGTACCTTCGTATTGATCCAGGAAGATGTCCTGGATATGGAAATGGTAGGTTTCGAGGCACTTCTCGGAGGATCCCACACGCTTGTAGATGTCCGACAAGAAGATCCGAGCTTCGGTTCGTGTTTTGGGATCCTCGAGCCGCTCCAACACCGATCGGATGGGCGCCGTACGCGCCGTCGCCGGACTGCTGGCATCGGTTCAGGAACTCGTCGACGGAGATGCCCGCCATTTTCGTCGTTGACTCAGACGTGCAGACGTATCGTTTTTGAAAAATCGTACAGTATCTTTTGTCCTCTTTAGGCGAATCTGAGGAAGCAAGCCATCTTGTAAAGCAAAAGAATATTAAAACGAAAAGCAAAGCCGTGGGATGATGCGGAGGGTTTGTTTGTCCCCAATTTATATCGAGGAACATTTTTATACTTTTTATTTTCTCACTTTGTAAATTATACCTTTTAATAAATTTTAGATGAAAATATCATCGGTTGTAATTTGAAATATCTATTATATTATTAAATATCTCTCTCTATTAACAGCAAACATAGATAGATCCAGTTAGCAAATTATCCTCAACAAAATTGTGTTTTTGTTAATTTTATTATTAGAGTGTTACTCTTATTTATTTGAATCGTTTCCGCAATGGAATCCCGTACCGGCAAATGGATAATCCGCTTCCGCGGTTGGGTGAAGAAAGGCTCCAGACAAAGGTGCTCTCGGTCGGACGCCGTAAATCGCGGGGAATTGTAGACTAGTCCGAACCCGGCTGACCGGAAGGTAGAAAGTAGTTCAGGGTTTTGTTTATTAGACGAACTCGTCGTCCATTCAGGCGATAACCTGGACGAGAATTATCGGACGAACACGTCGTACAGCCGGACGAAAGGCCATAGTCTTTCCGGATGATAACCCCTCGTCCATGTGGATGAAATATGCGTATTCCCAAACTATTTTCATGCAAGCTGTCCGAGAGCACGACTCGTCCGAGCTATACTCGACCGGGAGCACGACTCGTCCAAGAGTGTGTCATATCCTGTCGGAAAGTGACCAACTCGTCCGACATAGTGGATTTAAACAAAAAAATTCAAAACAAAATTTAACGAATCTGTTATATAGAGAGAGATGTTGTTGTATTCTGTTTTCGACCGATAGAAAATCCGGAACATTTGAAGTTGAAGAAGATATTGATGTCAGAATGTGAAGATAAACTTTGATATTCCTTATTCTGAATTGTATAAATTTGTATGTGAAGATTTTGGTTTTCAATTTTCAAATCAAGATTTTGACTTCAGTGTTTTGTCGAGTAACTTCTCGGATAAGAAATGTTTTCCAATTTTAATTAACAATGATGAGGGATTATGCAGCTTGTCGCGTACGAGATTTGGAAAGAGCGTAACAACAGAATCCACAGGGAATTGAGAACCTCCACCTCCCTCCTTTGACATAAGATTGATAGGTCGATGAGAAACATCCTTTACTCTTTGCAGGATCCAAAGAATACAAGTTCGAATGAACTCCTCCAACATTGGTATCGACTAAGCTAGGCTTTTGAAATTTCGTTATGCGTGTCTGCGTATGGGAATCCCTTTCTTGTATATTGATATTTTTGTAAAACTCTTTTGTTGGGTTAGAAAGTAATACAAGCACATTTAAACCAAAAAAAAAACAATGATGAGGGAGTTTTAATTTCTTGTGAAAAAACTTTTGGAGATAAAGAATTGGCTCTTTACATCTCGCTCAAAGGAAATAGACACGTGGAATAACGTCATAGCGTTGGAGTGGGTGGACGAAATATATGAATTGATTTGAACATAAATCATTCATTCACTAACTCATCTTTGGAGGTATTATAAAAAATATCATCGATATATTATTTTGATTTCAATTCATATCATTCTCTAGTTGTGATCATCTGACCAACATGTGGTTAGTCCAGACCAGACCTTCACATACGGTATGTCCCGTCTCCTCAGTCTGTCCGTTTTTCTTCTGATCAAATCTGAAAGTTGGTATAGACCATACCGTGGCACGACTCGTGAGCACGATACGAGTACCGGGTGTCACAATTAATGTATATTTGACTATGATGTTTTAGTTTTAGTTTAGGATTTACGTAAACGCTAGTCATGCATTCATACGTGAATTAACTCTCTTGTTATTCAGGTGGGTTTTTTTTTTCAATACAAACACCACCTTTAACCAAAAAAAAAATTTAAAATGAAGGGACAAACGATTTATGTACCCTCTTCATGTCTGAAAAATGGTAACTCGAAGCTGGGCATTGACACGTGAGAGAGACCCAAGGAGATTCGTCTGAGTATAGGCTCCGGTCGAGTTCCAACTCATAAACCGACAATGCCTTGGATAATGAATGCGTTTGGAGGTTCCCAATAAATAATATAGTTACAAGTATACAATTATGTGTGTTTTTTTCTAAACGCCTTGTCGTTATTATACGGATCATTAAGGTTCATATATGCATACTCACTCAAACGTTAGTTTTATATTATTGTATTTTTTCTACTGAGTTTTAATAGTTGCATAACATAGTCTCGTGGAATAGAACTGTCGAATTGATGATTATAATTAGAGAATATGGAAAAAAAAATTAATTTTTAAAATTTTGTATATATATATTTCAATTTTATATAAAAAAATACACAAATCTTCGAATTTTTGTCAAAAAAACATACAAATCCTAACAAATTTGATGACAATTTCCTCGTGTCATCGCCACATATGAGAAATATGTAATTTAATACTCTAAATTTGGATAGTTCAGTTGGTGAGACGGAGAAGCGTTTGTTATGTCCTGATTTCAAACTTTAAATTTGTAAATTTATTTTTTGATAGTCACTTATTTATCATGATGGTGATAACGAGAGTCACGAGACGATATTTCCGTCAAATTTTTAACTTTATTAGGGTTCGTATAGATTTTTTTTTATAAAACTTATAAAATTTGTGTATTTTCTTATAAAGATTAAAATTCATATATTTATTAACTTGAAAGGTTAGTATAGATGGTTCATCATCTTTAACCAACACAGTCAAAAGGTTCGAATTCTATCCTAGACTGGAACAAATATTTTAGATTAGCTCTTTACTATTTAATACGTTGACAAATGATGATTAGTTACAATATGTAAGCTATAGAAATACTGGTTTATAGTTGAACATCATTCAATATACCTCGTGATCTATAAAAAAAATTCATATATTTTTTTTTATGAAATTTAAAAAGTTTAAAGTATTTTTTTACAATGTTCCCTTATTATTAATATAATTAACCATACTCGTAATAATAGTTAATAGGATGCGAATATCCGGCCAAGGGCCAACCAAATGTGCGTAATAAAATTTAATCATTAATATCATTTTTTGCAAAAGCGTATACGAATGCTACTTACTCAACCCAAGCTTGGGTGGTCTAGTGATGAGACAACATGCAAAGCATGTTCTCATCCTGGATTCAAACCCAAACGTGGGGAGGGACATTCACATGGGCTTCCCCGGTCCTCTGGAAGATGTAGTCGAGTCAAATGCCCGGTGAACTTCCGGATTATCACAAAAAAAAAAAAAAGAATGCTACTCACTCAACCTTATTCCATTCGTCATCATTTTCTAGTCCTATGTATATGTATGCTTACATATATCCATATACAATTCTCCCTCCCTTTTTCATATTTGTTTTCCTATCTCTCTCTTTCAGGTGAGAATGTACAAAAGAAAAATTGAGAAGCCAAACAAACCATCAGCGATACCGTGTCATTCGTCCGGCCATTTGGACTGTAAGGCGTTTGCGGATTCCGGTCCAAAGGGTCGAGGACGGTTCCCATCGTTTAAAAAAAATAAAACAGTACATGTGCATCGTCCATTATCATATGACCCCAAAAGGCCAAAGATAAAAAATGCACATTTCACAGCTTTTGAAGAAGCCAAAGTTGTAATACTAATTATAATCACCATACATATATATGTGTATATATATAATCATTATCATCATCTCTAATCATTTCATTTTTCTCTGGCATTCCATGTGCTCTCACCCTTCTTGCCCCACTTCCCATTATTTTACACTCGCCCTTCCCCTCTCTCTCTCTCTCTCTATATATGCACACACACAGTCCCACATACATATATACATATACACACACATACACATACACATACGATATAGATCATGAACAGTTCTGCTCCCCCGCAGCCCTGCGGCCGTTCTTGGTACTTGTTTCTCGAGACTGAAAACCCAACTTTTTATACGATCTTTCTTGAGTCTTGTACTTGGTCTAAATTTTTCGTGAAAATCTTGACTGCGAAGGTCGGTGAGCGAGGAGTCGTTGAAAAGGTACGTGCGTTTCGCGAGCGAGAGCTGCATACAGGAGCTGCTGTCGGCCTCGGACGCGGGGCGCTTCGGGAACGCGGGCAACGGTTGGAAGATTCTGAGCCTTGAGAAAGACGTCGAGATCTCCAAACGCGGGTCCGGATCGCTAAACGCGTTCCGCAGCCGCAGGATCCTCAGATCGGTTCCTTCCCAGCAGTTTGTCGCCGTCGCAAACGCCATAGACGCGGCCAAGGTGATTTATCGACCGATTATGAAGAAGATTCTCTGTTTCTTGTCCTTTTTCCTTGTGTAAACTTTTTTTTTTTTTGGGGTTCAGCAATGGGACAGTGATCTTGTGGAAGCAAGATACATAAAAGACATCGAAGAAAACCTTAGCATAGTAAGGCTTAGGTTCGGGGAACATTCGAAGCCTCTGTTTAGGAACAGGGAGTTCACTGTCTATGAGAGACGCGAAACCATGGAAGATGGTACACTGGTGGGTTTTTTATTTGTTTCTCTCTCTAGAATTTTCTTATTTTCCAAATTATTATTAAATAAAAAAATAAAACCTTTTATTCAATCTTACAAAAATAAATCTATCGTTCTGCCAAGATTTTGCTTTTACTATTTATCATCCGGTATTCAAAAATTAGTTATTTATTTTGATCAATGGGATAAATTTTGCTAAATTTGGTGATTGTTTGTTTTTCTCTCAAAAAATTTATGTGATATATTTTGCACCTTTTTTCCTGAACATATTGAAATTTCGCTTAAAAGTTGTTATTCAGTTATTTGGTCGGATTATTCAGTGTTCAGATTAAGTTGGTTCTAAAAAACGAATTTTTTTTTGGTAAAAAAATTCTCCAAAAAATTCTGGATCGAATCGACGAAAATAAGAAAAGCAGTTAAGGTTGTTTTTTTTTTTTTTGTATTTGATGGATGATAAATTCAAATTCCGACATTTTTATTCAAAAAGAAATTTTATTTAGATTAAAGTAAGGTTTGTGTTTGGTTTGTCGGATAATCTTTAATTTAGAAAAAAAAATCATTTTTTTAATAATACTTATCTACTACAAGTTTTTCTTTTATAAAAGAGTATCTGAGCCGAAGTTCAGACTAATCTCCGGATCGGGAACTGGTCATGTGATTTAAATTATACGCTCCCTCTCAATTTAAGGTTCGAACTTGTGGTGGGACAGACGTTTTGTGCGTCCGTTTCATCGGTTGAACTACCTAAGTTTGGGTTTATCTAGAAGTTATTTATATTAAAGTAAGGTTTGGGTTTCAAATTTATTTTTCTATCATTTTACAGATTAAAGAATTTTTATATGTCTTACCCTTTCTTTAACTCGCAAGCTCAGGTGGTGGCGGTGGCGTCGCTGCCGAAGGAGATAGCGGCAGGGTTGCAGCCTAAGAAGAGCAATTCGATAAGAGGACTGTTGCTTCAGTCAGGCTGGGTCGTGGAGAAGCTCGACGATGACTCTTGCATGGTAACTTACGTTGTCCAGGTATTATCTCTCTTTCTTTTTTAATTCGTATATTAACCCTAATTTTAATTCAGACCTTCTTAAACATAACCGGTCCAATAAAAAATGCATACCATACCGAACAAAACCGGCAAATATGCGTTTATAAGAACTCTGTTAGGTTTCGGTTTTTGTATTTTATTTTTTGGATAAATTAATGATAACACAAGATGGGATCGAATTCTATTAAAGATAGATACTAATATCTCTTGTATTATCAAAATGTATAATCTATCTTTTTTATGAAAAAATCTTTATAATTTTCTATAATTCCCATTAAATTTGGATGGAAAATCCCCCATGTTATCGTTTTGGCACCCATTTGATGAAATATTATAACAAAAAGATATTAAATTTACTCAATAGTTTGTGTATATTCATTAGAATTTGACGGTTATACCCTCTTTGCTGTTGGTTTTTTTTTTGCCAGATGGATCCTGCCGGATGGTTGCCGAAGTGTTTCGTGAACAGACTTAACACAAAGCTTGTTATGATCATCGACAACCTAAGAAAGCTTGCTCAAGCTTCTCCGGTGCCCCTTTCTCGTACATAAAAAAAAAAACTTTTAATTAAGATTTTATTTCATATCGCAACTTCACAAGTCTTGGAGTTCGCGACAAAGCTATAACTAAAATGAAATTAAATATTTCTATCTCTTGCATATGTAATAAAAATATAGTTTGACATCTTGCATTATGAGTGGAGGAGGATATGATTAGGTTTAGTGATGGAGGAAAAATTGGAGTAGTTGGGAGGATCCAACTCAACGTTTGGTTACGTAATAGGGTTTGAACCCTAATTTCTAGAGTAGAGATGCGAATAATACGACAAACGTCAGTAGATATTTTGGATAATGAACATAGAAATGATTCGGAAGAAGATGAAAATCAAGGCGAGCAATCTAGAAGCAAGGAAGTCGAGTCTCATGCGGCAACATTGCCAATTAAAGCCGATGATGCACCAATTGCCAAATGTTGGTGATGGTGATAATAACTTGACCATAGTAGTTGGTGATATGACTCAAAGTTTACTAACTATGTATTCAATTTTAGTGATGTATTGAATATAACAACTAGAACTGAATTTGTCGGTGGAAAAAAAAAAGAGCATATGAATATGTATGAAAATGGTGCATTTTTTGCTCATTTTACTTATACTACACTCAATTCATATAAAAAATTGTGGGCAAGTTTGTTCGAATGAGTTATCAATGGAAATTGTGTATGATAGTTGTCTAGAAATCCCAACGTTTTAGGGTAATAACACACAATTCCATTCATATTTGCAGAACTTTTTCTGAATCGAAATAAACTATGAAGGGTACAACGGAGTTGGATTATCTCTTTTTTGAAAAAAGAATATATTGGTAAACTTCAAATTAGATTTTGTTTTTTTTTGTTGGTTGTGTTATCGAACCTTCGTTTTTTTAATTAAATTAGACTCGTTATGAATTATGTTTTAAATTTGTTATGTATATACGGATATGATTTATTTAATACATTTCATTTTGTGGAAGATGTTCTTTAACTGGATGCGGCATATGAGACGCATTTGTCATATGAGTTGCTCTATTCGCATGAGTCGAATTAATTGGAGCATTATCAAAAATACCATTTATTTTGCTATTTTTACTTCAACAACCTCTCTTCAATTGTGATCATGTGATCTATTTGATCCGAAATATAGTGTGGTCATATGTTGATCTTATTGCTGCTCTACCCACCTTTGCGACGATACGTCAATTCGACACACGCGACTCACTCATGCGTCTCATATGGTTTATACAACTCGCTCTGATTCACTATGATTCTACGTTTTACGTCTCATTTTAACCACTCAACACAATCCATCGATTTGTTTCAATGGAACCAATTTTTAGTGTTTGTCCAAGTTACTTCTCTCTCTCTTTTTTTTTTTTAATCTAACTCTCACGTCTAGTTTTGTAGTAGAACCATTTCTCGAAGAACGTATCCGGACAGTCCAAAGTCTCAAACCTCCACGCTCTTTAGCACGAGATTTACCTATTTCCCTCGGTAATCTATTATTAACAACTTGCTGTATTAAAAGGACAAGCACGCACTCAATACAACAACAAAAACTCAATTCCGAGGATAAGTGCATACTCAATAACCAAATGATTCGGATTTTTATCCCTCTAAAGCCCACAGGAAAAAGTGGGGAAATCAAAATTTACAGAGACGAGTAAACAGCGATAGTCATATATAGCTTATGTTTGGTAAGGTACCAAAAGATCCTATGACTATAACACAGCAAGTCAACGAGAGTAAGAACCAAAAACATATGTTTTTTTTCCTCTTCAGGCAAAGAAAACAAAACTTGGAGAGTGAGGCACATAACAGAGTGAGAAGAAAAGAGGAGAATGTAGTTTAACACTAACAACACCAGAGCCGATTTGGGTCAAGCATCGAGACTTAGAAAACTGACCAGTTCCGTGAGGATTGTACTTTGCTTGATGCATTAACTCGGGTGGTAGCTCATTCGTTCCCCTGGTGGATATGACATATCCGAGCTCGACCTGGGTTAAGCAGAGATTCCGACATCGTCCAACCCTACAGATTGCAAATGTTTATTCAGATGGGAATAACCCATTACACTTCTATACAAGGTGCTCAGACGATAATGACCCATTCATTACCTGTTCTGCAGCCCTCCTCCTGAAAATGTCATATGATGTGGAAACCATTTCACATGACTCTGCTATATGAGATTCAATCTCCGCTATCGTGGGAGCGGGATCTGATTGCTCCCGGAATTTTGATGTTCCTTCACTTGATCGATTCATGGAATGAAGAAGCACGTGTGCCTATGATAGAACGGGAATACAAGGAATTTAGGGACATCCATTTCGATATTAAAAACACAGACAACAGACCAAGTAAGAAATGAATCTCACATGAAATGCTGCTTTCAAAATATCATCTGACTTTGCCTGATTCTTGAGCAGTGCATACACTTTACCCTTGGAAGGACTGTAGGTCACTAAGTATCTCTCTTTCTGCAATATCAAAGAGGAAACATTCAAACCATGGGCATAGAGGCAACGAGGTAAAAACATACAAGCCTGACGCTGGATACATGGAAAAGGACATACGTCGAAAAAAGGCTTGACTGCAAGATACATGCTTGGGTCTTGGAACGCGTCCTTAAATCTGGATCCTGTAGAAACAGTACAAAACTCCATATAATAAATGATTAAAAATAACAATATTGTTCTATCTTGACCAGCTTTACATTTTAACATGTACCAAGTACCACTGGCCGATCCTCCACCCATGGGAAAGTGAATATCTTCTCCTGCTTATTACCTTCCTGAAGTGAGGGAACCTGCCCTGCAGGTAGATATCAAGCTTAATAAGTGTAGTTCTCATGTCACAAAAACAGTTCAACTTTGGCACAAGATGGGAAAGACGGATAAGATATTAAGATTACACTCCTTTTCATGGTTAAACAAGCATATCTGCTAACCTGTCTTGAGGAATGACTCAACAGCCACTGTGAATCTGGCACGGTTTAGTGTGTGTAACGCTACAGATTTAACCTGCAAGAAAGCGCACCAAATGCCTTAGCAAAACCCAGATAAGAGAAATGTTTTAAAATAATGCTACTTGCAACAGAACTGGATCCTAACCTCTTGGTATGAGCTGAAGACATATCCACAAGAAAGAAGAGCAAATGTTGTGACCAACGAAGGATTCCTTTTGGACATCATGATGCTAAGCCCAGTTCCCAACTTCACATAACGAACGGGTATAATGAATAGAGAGGAATAAGAAGTTCTGAGGCAAGATTTTAAAGGACACTTAAAAGCAAATCATTATTGTAGTTACTTGAAAACATCTCACATCTGTTATAGAATAATAGAAAGCAATTCAACCAGACCATCCAGACATGCAGGCAATCAAGATTTGAATATTGATTCTAAAATGTCAAGTTCATGTTGATTGATGGATCACTGATAAAAAGTTAAAAACGGGAAAAAAATTTGGGAAAAATATAGAAGAACATACCAGATCGGCAATATTACCAACGCACTCTCCCTTAGCAGTGACATCTCCTATATTTTCTCCTTTAGCAAAGGCTTTATAGATAGGCGTCCGAGTAGATGTTGAAGTTACAGCAGCAACATTCTGTTCGAAAAAATAAATCGACGATAAAGTAATAAATTATGTGAAAACATAAAACCATCACAACACTGAGCTCGCGGCAGAGGACAACCGTTCAACTAAGAAAACAAAATGGACGTAAGAAGATGATGAAACCTTTGCAACATTAGCAGCACAAGCAAGAGGAAGAAAAAGGTGTGGCACAGCAGCAGTTGCCAACTCAACCCCAGCACCCAACTCCATTAGTAGATCACCCGCAAACCGTAACTACAAAACAAAGAGAATTAGAAAAAGAATTCGAATCAGACTATTGAAATTCTCTTGGATAGATTTATCTATACCTGCTTCAAATCATAGTCAAATTTCTTTCCTTGCCTGGCAAACAACATTTTCCCAACACGCCCAGCACCATCCTGCAAGCAGTATTAACTTTCTAGATCAAAAGGAAAAAAAAATTCACGGCTGTTCATGAGAAAAGGAAACTAGCAGTACTTCATCGGTAATTGGATCAGGCAACACACTGAACTAATAAAAGTGTTTTAGCTCATAGGAGGACTTGAATGTGCCATTTGAATACTTCTCAATTGGACATGACAATAACACCCGAAAGCAACAGACAAGAAGAAACAAGAAAGCAAAAGAAGACAACAATTACAGAACCAGCTTCATATGCAACTTCACCAGAAAACAAGATACAAATCAAACATTGTTTTCATTATAAACTTGCCATTTCAGAGAGTTAAACAGCCTCTCAGTCTTACCTTGAGAATCCAATTGATGGCGACTGCAGCAGGGGTAGACTTGTTTCTAGAGACTCCAACTGAACCCAAAAGGGATTGAGTAGTAAAAACACCCATGGCTCCACCAAAGAAGTGCTAAAAAGATCGCAGTTCAGAAACGAATAAAAGTCATACTCAATGCCAAATACCGGCCGGCAAGACTCAAAGCTACATCACTTCAGCCTTTTTAACACTCAGTATTAACTGAGAATACCTTCAAAGCTCTCCATGTCATGTATGGCACATATGACGAACTAACGCTATCAGGAAATCCTTCAGGCACCACATAAGACCGCACAAACGACATCACTTCCTGTAAACGCAACATGGGTAGGTTAGACCAGCCTCATTTTCTTTTTGGTCGAAATTAAGCCTATACAAAGAAAAAGTCCACCTGAGAAAAAGAAATGTAATCACCAAATCCAGAAATATCAAATGCAAATCCAAATGTGGGAAATTTGGCATCAAATTTTGTCGAAATATCGAAGCACCCAGATTGAAACAAGTACTAATCACGAATTGCAAATTCAAAGTCGTAACACAGTCTTAATCTAATGGCATTATTCATCACCAGGGATCATAAAAAACGAAACGAAACGAAACCATAATCAGGAACTGGACATACATCAATAGGGGTCTGGGGAGACTCCAAGCATATAGCACGAACTGAATTCCTCTTGAATCTCCCAGAACAATCTCTCTCGGCGACGTACTTCCATCTCCGACCGTCTATTTCCTCACAGCAGACCAACCTCAAACTCGAATTAACAAATTCCTTCTCGAGCGGGAGCAGAGGGGAATCCGCCTGGGCTTGCGGAGATCGACAACCATCATCAACAACCTGGTCAAGGATGGTCGAGGCAGGAGAAGAAGCCAAGGAGGCGCTTATGCGGAGCGTCTCCCGGACGAGAAGACGAGCGGATTCGTGGCTTGCGACT